CAGTCGGCCCGGCCATTCTATTGGGAAGGATGAAGGATTCTGTGGCGTCGGCGACGCGGCGCCTTCGTGTCTTGGGTGGATGACCCGTGGGCGGGGCGGGGCGGGGCGGGGCGGGGTCCGTTCGGTGACGCAACGGTTGCGTGATGCATAGGGACTGGACTCCGACTGGACGCACACAATGCCGGTCGGCCATTGAACGCGCAGCGCAAGGCCCAGCCCGTGTTGTAACTTCCCATGGCTGCGGCCGGCCCGCCGACCACATGCAGGCCGCTGGAGTCTGATTCCGAGAGTCGTTTTCGTCGCTCCGTCTCCCTCGCACTCGTGGGGCGTCTCGTGTAGGTGCGAGAGAGACGGAGCGACGAGAACGACTCTCGGAATCCGTCGTCTGCTGGAGCCGCCGGCTGGAGACTGCAGCCGCTGCAGAAAGCCGCGCTGTGCCGAGTCCGCTCCAGTGCGCCAGAAACGCGGCGTTGGAGGCGAGGCGAGGCGAGGTTGCGGGGAGCGAGCCGAGTCACTGCAATATCTCGCCGGGCATGGCGATGAGGCGGGGCTGGCGAGGCTGGCGGGGCTGGCGAAAGAGGCCGCTGCACCTGGCCCGGCCTGGCCCAGCCCTGCAGACTGATGCCGCGCAGCGGTTCACCCTTGTCTCTCTCGCACCTGCCCTCCACGGAACGCCCCGTGAGTGCGAGAGGGACGGAGCGACGATGTTCGGAACCACTCGGCCGGGATGGAATGGGCGTGGCGCAGCACCCAGGCACTTGTTTTGCGGTTTTTGTTTCGTTTCGATAAACGCACGGATGGATTGGGTGATGAAAAATCGGCCGGCGCGTTGCTGCGTTGTTGCTCGGTGGCGGTGCACTGTAGTGGCAGACGGCGTACACGTGCACGCCGGGCGGGGCGGCCGGCCTTGCTGGCGGCGGTGCGTGTGCCCGCGGCCCGGGGCGGCGCGGGGTCGGGACGGTGACAGCCGGTTTCGGCTTTTGAGGCGGGCTGTACTACGTCCGCATAGCGAAGTATGAAGTGATGATGATGATGATGATGGCGATGATGATGATACCCGAGGGCGCGCTGCTTGCGCTGGCGCTCGCTGGCGCTGGGACGGCGCGTTGTGGCGCTCGGTGCTTTGCAACGCAAACTCGCTCTCCGTCTCTCCGGACTGGACTAGCCTGGCCTGTGGCCTGGCATTCTCGGTGATCCCTCCCTGTCCTTCCCCGCCCCGCCCCGCCCCGCCCCGCCCCGCCCCGCCCCGCCCCGGCCGCCTCGTCCTAGCCGCAGCATCGCGGCATTCCGTGGTCCAGCGCGCGGTCCGGCTAGCGGGAAGAGAAGAGAAGAGAACACTGCCGGAGTATTTTTTGTTGCACTCCGAAATAAGTTTACTGTTTCAATGAAGCGAAATGGAAAATTGGAAAACGGAGGAGAAATGATAGGGCGGCCGGTAGCGTGGTGTGGCTGTGGCACTCTGGCAGTGCGAGCTTGATAAGTGTTGCCTGCACTCGAAGCTCTGCGCGCTCTGCGCACTAGAGGTGCAGCCCTCGCCTCGCTATCTAGCGATCTATCGATCTATCGCAATGCGGAATGCCACTGCCGGCCACTATCGGCGCAGCGCCGAGTTTTATCGGAACCATTTTTTATCGCCGTTTAAAAAAAATGGCAAAAAAAACTGTCGATTTCTTTTAATGGCAACTTTTTCTTTTCTTTTTGGCGGGTTGGCATTGTGGCTCGCAGTCCGTGTGTACGGACGGCGATTGGCAATTCATTTCGCGATGTTGTCTCTGTTTCATTTCATTGTTGTTGACGACGCCAACGGGTCTCTCGCGGGTGGGCGGAGACACGGCAGAGGAGGTGCCGCTTGCCGTGCCGCGCCTGAGCGTGTCTCCGCATAGGCGCGTGCGTTGCGTGCGTGGATTTAGGCCAAGGGATATCGGGTTGTGCGCGCGTGCCTTCGGCCCCTTCGACTCGGCCCTCCTCGCCCTCGGGACTGACTGCCACTACACCAGAGGGGCGGACAGCGACGGTATTTGGAGAAACGTCGGGTTTCTCGGGCGAGGCCGTGCCGTCGTCGCTGAGAGCGATTTGACAAGTGTGTGAGCCCCGTTTCCGACTTTGTTTTCCCTCCCTAGCATGCCGGGGCCCTTGGTCGGCCGAGGCGCTCTCCAGTGTAGCGGCCGCGAGGACCTTGGCGGCCAGAAGGCGGAGCGCAGAGCGGCGCGGAGCCCGGGCCGCTAATGTCGCAAAGCACTGCAAAGGTGGAGGAAACCTCCCCTCCCGCCGTAAATGCTTGCTGTCCTTTGAAGGCGTGTGCCGGGGCCGCTGCGCGCCTTGGTTCCGAGCAGTGCTCTGTCTCTCTCGCACTCATGGGGCGCCGCGTAGGGGTGCGAGGGAGACAGGCCCGCGCTGTCCGCCACATTGTCCGCGATGTGGGTCAAGCCTGCTCCGGCCCGGCCGGCCTCAGTCAGCCTCGTCAGGCCGTTCCCTTTGACGCCTGCCTGGCCCTGCTTCGCCTGCTTCCTGATTATTGCCTTTGTTTGCTTTACGGCGCGTGTCGTTTGGCGCCGTACCTGCATGCAGCCCGCAGGCTGTCTCCCCGCCGCTCCGTCTCTGTCGCACTCGGGCGGCACGCCGAACGAGTGCGAGAGAGACGGAGCGACCAAAGCACGGTTCGGAATGGGCCCGCTGGATGGCGGTCTCGAGGCTCCAGGGCGAGGCGGGGGCGGGGTGGGCGAGGCGAGGCGAGGCTCCAGCCCTGACTCCAGCACTCCAGCAGGGCTTGCACGCGCAGTGAGGAATGAGGAACGAGGAGTGAGGAATGCACGCCCGTTGCGTTTTGCGTTTTCTCTGCGGCAGATGGGATGACGTGCGGGCGCGCCTGTTTGAACTCAATTTTGCAGAGTTGTTAACCTCTCTCTCTCTCTCTTCGCTTCGCCCGGAGTGGCTGTGTGGCCCCTCTGCCCTCGCCTCTTCCTCGTCACGCCGAGCGCGGCAGCGCGGTTCGCGTTTCTTTCCAACTCGCCCACCCGCGCCGCCGAGCAGAGAGGTGCGTCAGTGTGTGCGTGTGCGTGAACCGTCTTGAATGGCCGCCCTGGCCGGCCCGCCCTGCCCTGGCTTGCTTTGGCCGCGGCGTCGGGTTCTGCTCGTTTTGCTAGTTTCTCGCAATTTGAGCCGCCGAGGTGCGACCTCGGCATGATTGATCGGCTGCCGGACTGCTCTGCATGCGGTGTGTGTGCGTGTGTGTGTGTGGCCGAGGGACGCGTTGCCAAGCGTCAGCAGATAGTCCCCGCCCCGCCCAGCCTTTAATGGTAATGGTACGGAGGTAGGCAGCCCTCGCCGGCTGGCGCGCTGCCGTGCGCTGCGGCGTTGCCTACACTGCTCTTCGCAGGCGCCCTGAGCTCGGTCTGTCCTCCATGTCCGGTCCGTCGCTTCTGCCCTCGGTGCGGTCTATCGGTGTTTTTCCTTCCGTCCCTTTTAATCTCGTTGACCCGATTTTTTTTTAAATTGTCGCGCTGCCGCGCTAATCTCTGCGCCTCGATAATGCCTCGGTGGCGACCTGGGGCCGGGCCTGGGGCCGGGCCGGCGCGGTCGGGGACTGGCTGGCTGGCCGGGGCTTAGCGACGGCACGGCGCCACGGCTCACTTGAAGGAGGATTACTCGATTGCGAGGCAGAGACCGGTGTTGCGGCAACCGCCTCCACTTGGTTGACAATACCTGGGCGATGATTAAATCTTTTTAGACTTGTGGACGCTCTTGGACGCTTGCCGATTCTCGGTGTCGGGCGCGAGGTTTGGCGAGGTAGGCGGCGAGAGGACACACTGGCCTAACGGCCGCCGTGTTGACCCTCCCGGGAGAGGATCGGGGTCATCCCGGGTCGGCGTCGGCGCCGCCTCGCCCGCTGCTACACTGCCGCTGCTTCGGCCGGCCGTGTCGCCAACAGACTGACCGGGCGAGTCGCGGGTTCAAGGCTGCGCGCCGCCAAGAGCGAGGCGTGGCCGTCACTCTGCCCAGGAGAGTGACCAGGACCAGTGTGCACAGTGGGCAGAAGACCGGTGGAGGCGGCCGCAATTTTAGACGCGTTTTGACCTCCAGAGTCGCTACATGGAACTAGGACCAAACGTGTGACCCCACCAACGGATTGCTTTCCGAACGAAGAATCCATTGGTGGGGTCACACGTTCGGTTCGAGTCCTGCTTATCGACTCTGGAGCTCAAAACGCGTCTCGAGTTTTGGCCGCCTCCATCGGTCTTCTGGCCCACTGTGGTGTGACTGCCGTTATCGCTTGTGGCGCTGCGGCACTGCTGCGCTGCTGCAACGGCAGTCTGCACCGGAGTCCACAGTGGACGCGCCGGCCGGCTGGACAGCTGGAGGCTGCAGGCCGCTGTGGAGACGGCCAGGCGGCAGACACACTGTCAGCCAGCTAGAGTCACCTGGCGACGTGTAACTCCACACCGGCGTCGCTTTACAGTGCCACGTTACTACGTTAGCCGCGTATCGCTAGTCCAGATTGGACGTGGCGCCCGCCCCTGCGGTGCTCTGTCTCTCTTGCACCCCTACGGGACACCCCGTGAGCTCGAGAGAGACCGAGCACTGTTCGGAATCAGCCCGCTGATGAGGAAGTTGGGGTTGTTGATGAAGGCGGGATGGCCGGCCGGGCACGGGCACATGGGATGGGCGGACGGACGGGAACCGGCTTGGCTTTGGTTGTGCCCCGCCCCGCCCCGCCCCGCAGCGGCCGCGGGCTGCCCGGGCCCACCTGGGGGTCGCTGACCGATCTGCCTGTCTTGCGAGGAGCCCGCGAGCCCCCCTTCGCCGACCCGCCCTCCCCGCGGGCGGTTCCACTCGGTTCCACTTGTCCAGCCCCCCTCTCTTTTTCCAGCTCCAGCCGGTGCGGAGTGGAAGTGGAAGCCGGTAAACGCAACCATCCCCCTTCCCCTTCCCCTGTTCCTCCCCGCCCGATCTGCTAGATGTGTAACAGTTCTGAAACGTTGTATTTTTGGTTCTGCCCACAGGTTCGCTTGGAGAGTATTGGCGCGGAGGACATCGTTGATGGGAACCCTCGTCTCATCTTGGGTCTTATCTGGACCATCATTCTTCGCTTCCAAATTCAAGAGATCGAAATTGACGTGGTGGGTGTTCATAATTTTCCCTCCAATCGCCTCAATTTTAAAAAAAAACAAGTTTTAAACAAATTTTCAATCTAATAAAAAATTTTTTTTACATTTTGTTTAGGATGAAGAAAATGAGAGTAGTGAAAAGAAGTCAGCTAAAGATGCTTTGCTGCTTTGGTGCCAAAGAAAAACCAATGGTTACCCGGGAGTTCAAATTCACGATTTTACTGGTGTGTAATTTAATTTGTAAATAAAAGTAAGAACAAACTTATTTTATTCGTTAATTTTTAAATGTTGTTTTCTTTTAGGCTCATGGCGCAGTGGACTTGGATTTAATGCTCTTATCCACGCTCATCGACCAGACTTAATTGATTTCACAGTTCTTCAGCCTACCCGACACATTGACAACCTTAATAATGCCTTTGACACTGCTGCAACACATTTGGGCATTCCTAGTCTTCTGGATGCAGAAGGTACTGCTTGTAACTTTAGTTATTTTGTTCCTTTCTTGTTATGTTGCAATATAATTAGCATATTATTTGCCTTTTTTCAGATGTTGATACTAGTAGACCGGATGAAAAGTCTATTATCACATATGTGGCATCTTATTATCACACATTTGCTCGAATGAAAAATGAAATGAAGAGTGGCAGGCGGATAGCCAATGTGAGTCTCTTGTGTTTTTTTTTTTTTTTTTTTTGTTTTTTTTTTGTATTTTCCTGTTTGTTGCTCTAGTTATTAAGTTATTCTTATTTTGCCATTTTTACAGATCGTTGGCCAAATGATGGATGCAGACAAAATGAAGGTTCATTATGAAAGACTCACATCTGATCTTCTGCAATGGATTCGATCAAAGATCACTGAACTTGAAAACAGAGACTTCCCAAATTCTCTTGAAGGTATCCAGCGAGAATTGCTGAGCTTCAAACAGTATCGCACTGTAGAAAAGCCACCTAAGTACAAGGAGCGTAGTGAAATTGAAGCGCTTTACTTTCATATAAACACTCAACTCAAGTCACTAAATCAGCCAGCATTTACACCCCAAGAAGGTCAATTTATTCATGACCTGGAAAAGGGTTGGGAACAGCTGGAGAGAGCTGAGCATCGACGTGAAGTTGCACTAAGGCAGGAGTTGCTGCGTCAAGAGAGGCTGGAACAACTGAACTACAAATTCGAGCGAAAGGTGGGTTTACTTATTTTGAGAGTTCCTGCAACATAAAATACTAATGTATTTGATCTGTACCATACTGATGTTTCTTCTTTGCATTTCCAGAGTGTTCTTCGTGAAGGCTACTTGAAAGAAATGATACAAGTGTTATCTGATCCACGGTATGGTAGCAACTTATCTCAGGTTGATGCTACTGTGAAGAAACATGAAGCTATAAGTGCAGATATTATGGCTCGTGAAGAAAGGTTCCATGATTTAAGTAATATGTCAGCTGAACTTGTTCGTGAAAATTACCATGGTTCGGAAAGAGTCCAACAAAGAGAAACTGAAGTATTAGAAAGATGGCGTGAGCTTCTTGCTCTTCTTGAAAAGCATAAGGCAAACCTTACTCTGTTGTGTGGTCTTATGGCAATTCTCCGAGAGATGGATACAGTTATGGGAGCTATTAAAGATTTACAGGTGCTAAATTTATCCAGAATTCCTCTTGCTTGCAAGTACACTTTTTGCAGTGTGAAATGTAGTTCTAATTTATCTGTCTTTTCTAGGATAACTTTTTGTCTGAAGATGTTGGACCACACTTGCTTGCAGTTGAAGACCTACTTCAGAAGCACAGCCTGATGGAGCTGCAAGTAACTGCTATCGGGGAAACCCAGCGTCGTCTTGGCCGGCAAGGGCAGCAGTACATAAACAGTGCACACCGTGATGCTGAGAAGCTGCAACAACGTCTTGACGCTCTCAACGCAGCCTATGACTCACTACTCGAATGCAGCAAAGAGAGACGAGCTCGCCTAGAAGAAGCTCGCAACTTCTTCCAGTTCATCCAGGACCATGAAGATGAAGAGGGCTGGATTGTTGATAAACAAAGAATTTGTAAAACAGGAATTTCTGCCAAAGACCTACGTGCTGTCCTTAGCTTACAACAGAAACATAAAGTGTTACAAGATGAAATGAGTATGCGGCGCCCCAAATCAGATCAAGTGTGTGAGGCAGGTCGTCAGCTAATCACCGACAAACATCCGAAAGCAGAAGAAATTAACACTCGAATTAACGGACTGGTAGAGCAGTGGAGCACCTTAAATGAATTGGTTGCTGTACGCCGCAAACAACTAGAGGATGCAGCTGAGGCATACCAGGTAAGACCCAGCTCTCTGTATGTGTTCTTCCTTATTAAACAATAAATTATATTATTTTATCTGATAACTAATTCCTTCTTTTCTCCCCTCTAAGTTCTACACTGATGCTAATGAAGCAGAATCATGGCTGAATGAGAAAATGGCCATTGTTGCATCAACAGACTACGGTGAAGATGAACCCTCTGCACAGGCACTTCTGCAGCGCCACCGTGACCTTCAGGGAGAGCTCAATGCATACAGCGGGGACATTCAGAGTCTCAATAGCCAAGCTGAAAAGCTAGTCAAGGCTGGCATCTCAACTTTAGAGGTATGTTTTGCTTTTATTTTTCATTCTGGCTCCGCTTTTTAAAGCATTTACAAAACTTGACTAATTTGTGCTGTCCTTGTAGTTGTCTGCCGAGCCTGAACCTTTGGCTGAGGTTGATGGCGCTAATGAAGAAGAGTGGGTGAATGAAGTGCGCTTGGTTCCACAAGAAGTTTGGGAAGAGGAGCCAATTGAGAGAACTGAGTACCGTACAGTCACTGAGGAAAGATTGGTACCCCAAGTCAGAAGCTCATATCCTTTCAGTGGTCAAGGAATGTTGATGGAAAAAGGAGAGGTATTGTCACTCGCATCTTGACCTTTTGCTTTTGAAGTTGAGGTGCAGGAGACTTGATCATTACCTTGGTTCCAGGTCATGTTCCTCCTCAACAAGACCAATGATGATTGGTGGAATGTCCGAAAGGCTAATGGACAGGATGGATTTGTTCCTGCAAATTATGTCAGGGAAATCGAACCAAAAACTGTACAAGTTCAAGTCAGGCGCCCTGAGAAAGTACGTGAGGTGAAGAGGGTGCGGAAAACAAAAATGGTCAAGCAGGTAATACCTGTTAGAAAACAGAAGACGCCCAAAGCACCTGGTAAGATTTAGGAACTTCATTTAAAAATCAACAAAGTAAACATTTTTTGCCCCTCGTTTTCAATTGCAATCTTTTCTTATGTTTTCAGGAAGAGTTGCCAGGAGGAAATCTACTGATGATGAGAATCAAAATGTAGAAAAGCGACAACAGAAAATCAACCTAACTTACAAACAACTTCAAGATATGGCTGTTCGTCGACATGCACTCCTTGAGGATTCAATCAGACTTTTTGGATTCTACAGGGAATGTGATGACTTTGAAAAATGGATCAAAGACAAGGAAAAGATGTTGAGAGCAGATGATAGCACAGACAGTGTTGAAACTGCCAAGAGGAAATATGAGGTAGGATTTATACCTAAGTCTTTTTAACAGCAGTATCTTAACAAAGAAATTTTTTTTAATTTTTAACACTGACACTTTGCTGGTCCCCCTCTGAACTGCTCATCAGAAACCTGCAAAACGCAATCAGAATAAGAAAGGAGAATCATACAAGGCTGCAAATGATATTGGACAGTGCAGAGTCAATATTGTAAGAACTAAATTTTCATGGGCCAATATGTTCTTTGTATCTGTTTGTTGTCATGTTGTATTTCAGCAGGGTTAAGCTTTGCATTATAAAATGTTCTTTGTATATAAAATATTTTTTGTCAGCAGGGGCTAGCTTTTGTTTTGTCTTTGTACCGTTAGGAATTTCTGCCTTTCTGTCCCATGATCTATTCCATCTTCCATGTTTCAGAAGAACTCTTGTGTGTTTTGTTCTCGGGTTTGTGTTTTCATGTCTTATTTTGTGTTGTAATGATGTGACTCTTGTGCTTTATAGAAATTCCTCACGGACTTATCTGCCTCCGGTAAGCGCGTCGAAGCAATTGATGCTGCTGTTGAAGAGTTTGTGCGTCAAGGTCACAGCCATCTCGACAAAGTGAAAGCAAGGCAAAATCAAATCCATCAGTTATGGGACCATCTTAATTGGCTGAAGGGACAGAAGGAGCGCAGCCTTGAGGGAGCCTCTAGGTATTAAGAACAATATTTTTTTTTGTAAATCCTTGAACTTCTTTATGATTTTAGATGTCTGTTACTGACTATTGCTTACCTTTTTATGTTTCTAGTGTTGAGTTGTTCCACCGTACGTGCGACGAAGCCCGCGACTGGATGCAGGAGAAAATGACTCAGCTGGATACAGCAGAATTAGGGCCGGACTTAAAAACAGTTCAAGCTCTACAAAGAAGGCATCTTCATCTGGAGAGAGAACTAGCACCTGTCCAAGAAAAAGTCAACAGAGTCAATTTGCTAGCTAATTCTGTCAAGTCATCATATCCGAATGAAAAAGGAAATGTTAATGCTCGTCAGAAGGAAGTTCAGGAATTGTGGGAGAAAGTGAAGGCGAAGGCAGTTGAAAGAAGGTCCAGATTAGAGGATGCTGTTGGCCAACAAATCTTCATGAACAGTTCCAAGAATTTGTTAAGCTGGGTTCATTCAGTGAAAGATTCCTTGAATGCGGATGAAACAGCTAGGGACTTGGCTACTGCTGAAAGCCTCCTGAAAAAGCATGGTGAGCTTGGAGATGATATTCGGGCCCATGAAGATGAATTCCATGAGATATCTGACTTGGGTAAGCAGCTTCTTCAGCGCAACCCGAATCTTGTGGAAGTGAAAGCTCGTCTTGGAAAATTGGCTGAGGAGCAGGAGGCTGTTGCTCGTGGATGGCAGGAAAAGGGATCTTGGCTTGATCAGTGCAGAGATTTACAAATTTTCAATAAAGAAGCTGATGCCATTGACACCACCTCTTCAAGCCATGAAGCCTTCTTGGAGTTTACAGACCTTGGAGGATCATTAGATGATGTAGAAGCACTGCTGAAAAGGCATGAGGAGTTTGAAAACATGTTGATTGCTCAAGATGACCGTTTGAAGAGTTTTAGTGAGATGGCGGATAAGCTTATTGCTGCTGGGCACTATGATAGTCAGGGCATTGATGACCGTCGCAAACAAATTTTAGCTCGAAGAAGAGCCGTCAAAGAGTTAGCTAAAACCAGGCGTGCTGCTCTCCTTGCATCTCGCAATTTCCAAGAATTTGTTGCTAACAGTGATGACCTTAGAGGTTGGCTTGGAGATAAACTGCGAACTGCTGGAGATGAAAGCTACAGAGACCTCAGCAACATAGAGCGAAAGCTACAGAAACATGAAGCTTTTGAGAGAGAACTTCGCTCTAATGGAGGTCAATTACGAAATGTAAACAAAATGGGCCAAGGACTCATATCTGAAGGAAATTACCGAAGTCCCGAGGTTCAGAGTATTTTGGATGCTCTGAACACTGCCTGGGAGGAGTTGGTAGAAGTCTCCAGAGACAAAGGTGCTCGTCTTCGTCAGGCTGCCGCACAGAAAAGTTACAACCGCCTGCTGGAAGATGCAAGGATAAAACTTGAGGAAGTCGAAGTAGCTCTGCAGTCAAAGCAGCTTGGCGTTGACCTACGCAACTGCAAACAGTTGATGAAGAAACATCAGGTAAATTATCTCTTGTTTTTTCATACCTCACTCTCTCTCTCTCTCCATTTTCTTCCCTTCAAAATTAGCTTAACGTCTGTTGCTTTTCTGTTTATTGAAGGTCCTGGAAAATGACATGAACCAATGGGAGCAACGAGTTAACGACCTTACAAATAATGGTCAAGAGATGGCTCATGAGGGTCACTTTGATGCAGACAATATTTTGAAAGCGAGTAAAGACTGTCAACAGAAGTGAGTTTTCTTTTAAACTACTATTGGAGTAAAAAATTATTTCAAACTTGGTTTCATCTCATTTTTTTGCTAATTTCAGGTTTGCTTCTCTGAAGGCCCCAGCTAGAGCTCGTCGCGAAGCTTTGGAAGAAAGTCTTCGTTTCCACAAGTTTGGATTTGAGCTAGCGGCAGAGCTTGGATGGATCCGTGAACACATGCCCTTAGCATCATCTGACACTCTGGGAAGCAACTTGCACCAGGCCCAGTCCATGTACAAAAAGCACAAAAAGTTAGAGTCAGAAATCACTGGCCATCAGCCTATGATTGACCGCACTCTGGTCTCTGGACAGACGTTGATCAGTGAGGGCCATCCTGAAGCCAAACAGGTATGTTGTCTGTTGTCACATAAGTGATAAAATTTTCTGGTCTTTAAAAGCTTGGTACAAGGCAAAGAATTGATTTTCAACTCATTTTACCTTGTTGCAGATTGAGAACTTGTGTCATCAACTCAAAGATGCGTGGAGTGAATTAAACGACCAAGCAGTTGAACGTGCCAAGAAGCTAGAACTGTCTCTCAAAGCTCAACAGTTCTTCTTTGAAGCCGGAGAAGTTGAAAGTTGGCTTACAGAGCGTAATGATGTATTGAGCTCAACTGATTATGGTAGAGACCGAGATGCCGCCACAAAACTGCTTACTAAACACAAAGTATGTAGTACAAGTTAAAACTCTCGGATTACGGCGATTACGTATTAATATGTAATTAATTAACATGTTTTGTGTTTATTCTAATAATTTATTTACAGACTCTTGAGCTGGAGCTTGATTCCTATAGTGGCATTGTTAGTGAAATGGGTCATACAGCCAATGCTATGGTTAATGCAAAACACCCTGATGCAAAGGCCATTGCCAGCAAACAACAGCTATTATCTCAGCAGATGCGCACTTTGCAAAAGTTGGCCACTGCACGACAGCAGAGATTGATGGAGTCCATGTATAGACATGAATATTTCCTTGAAAGTGCAGAGCTTGAACAATGGATAAGAGAACAAAATCTCATTGCAGCTTCAGAAGATTTTGGTCAGGATTATGAACATTTACAGGTATGAATGAATTTTTTTTTTTTTTTGTCTTATGTCCCTAGAAACTCTTTTCCCTTTTGTCTGTAGAACAAGAGCAGAACAATTTATTGATCTGTTTTCTAGATTCTTCAAAACAAATTTGATGAGCTGAAGCGCAGTGTTGAAGCTGGATCAGAACGCTTTAACCAATGTGAAGAATTGGCTAAGAAGCTGATAGCAAATGACAGCCCCTACATTCCCGATATTGAAAAGCGTCAGGCCCAGCTAAGGTATGTTGATGTGATGGGAATTATTGTACTCACAAACTTGCATGTATCTTTGGTACAACCAAAGTAAGAAGAGTTTCTAAGAAATAATTCCATTAATTGTTATTCTTAGCATGATAGAACTGTATTAGATTGTTTCTGTGCATGACTTTACTGTTAAATAAGTGGTGTTGTAGATGAATTCATCTTCTTACTCTTTCTAAATCTCTACCCAAGTCTTCCATCACTAATAAAATAAAATATGCCAGATAATCTACTAGTGAGGTTCTTCAGTTGTGTTGTGTTGTTCTGATGGTTTCTGTGCTCAAGTGAATTTTTGCTTTTGGATCTGGTCTGTTATTGGGTCAATGGTGTAATGCTGTACATATTGGTGGGTATTCCTTAGTTCTGAGTGGATTGAGCAACTGGACAAGGAGGATCCTGTGCGTCAGGTAGCAGAACGCCATGCGGCCAACAAGTGAGTAGGGCTGCGTCACTAGTCCTAGGCTTCAATAAATTTGGTTGGACAGTTCATTTAATGCTTTGTTGCTCTTCTAAAGCATCCATTCTTCTAGAAAAAAAAAATCAGTTTACTTGTTGGATGTTAGCTGTCTGCTTTTTTTTTTTTTGTTATAATTTTGCTTTTGTTTTTATGGTTTGTAGAGCTTGTTTACTTGATAGTCTTTCTTCTACACATCTGTGAATATACATATCTGTACAGCTTTTTGTTTCTATAAAACATTTAACAGACAGTCTATCTATATTTAAATATGTACCTGTGCTTACTTGTAACTTGTAAAATTATTTGCCTTTGAGTGAAATATTTTGAGATTCATTAATTTTTAATAATGTATAATTGACTTCTAGGGAGGCCTGGCAGCAGTTACTTAATCAAATGTCTCACCGTGAACGACGACTGTCTGCTGCTGGTGAAATCCATCGATTCCATCGTGATGTTGCTGAAGCTCTAGCACGTATCACAGAGAAAATGGCAGCATTACCTGATGACAGAGGACGTGATTTAAACTCTGTTCTGGCACTTATTAGAAGGCATGAAGGTTTTGAAAACGATTTGGTTGCTCTGGAAGCACAACTCCAGGTGAAGACCTTTTTTAATATTTCATTTGTAAATTTGTATGATGGGTGTCAGCTCTTAATATGAAGGGTGCCTTGATATGTGATTACAGGTTCTTGTCGAAGATGCTGCTCGCCTTCAAGCTTTGTATCCTGGAAACAATGCAACACAAATTGCACAGCAACAAACAGTAGTTTTGTCCAGCTGGACAACTTTACAAGATAGAAGTGCTCAGCGCAGAGAAGAACTGCAAGCCAGTTGTGATCTTCAGCGGTTCTTAACACAGGTATGCACATCTTTCATAAGTTTCAAATTATTTATACTTTTCAATTATTTCCTGTATTATTAATATTTTTTGTATTAGGTGCGAGACCTACTAAGCTGGGCTTCAGGTCTCAGAGCAGCAATGCTTACAGAAGAAAAAGTACGAGATGCAGCAGGCGCACAAACATTGAAAGCTGAGCATGAGGCTGTTAAGGCCGAGATCGAAGCTCGAGAAGACAATTTCAAAACAGTATTAGAGTTGGGAGAGGCTATGATTCAAGGAAAGCACTATGCCTCACAGGTGGGTTTTCAGTGGCATTTGTTGCATAGTGTACTCTCGAGTGTACTTAATGCTCTGTCCTTAACTAATTTTTCTTATTGCAGGAAATCCGTGAGAGATCTGACCAATTACTGGAGGAGAGGCAAAAGTTGCATGCTGCCTGGCAGCACAAGAAGGTGCACCTTGACCAACTCATTGATTTGCACTTCTTCCTTAGGGATGCAAAGCAAATCGACACTATCAGTGGCTCTCAAGAAGTAGCCCTTGCTGGATCAAACTTTGGTCACTCAGTCGATGAGGTGACAGCTGCAATGAAAAAGCACGATGCTTTTGAGAAATTGCTTGGAACTCAAGAAGAGAAAGTTATTGCTTTGCAAGAGCATGGTGACAAACTCCTGGCTCAGAGTCATTTTGAAAGGGAAACGATTGCTCAAAGATTAGGTCAAGTCGTTGAAAGGAGATCGAAAGTTAAGGATCTTTGCGCCACACGCAGGGGTCATCTGGAGGATGCCCTATTACATGCACAGTTTGTGCGGGATGTTGGGGAAGCAGAACTTTGGATCGATGAAAAACAAAAGAAATTGGAAGCTGAAGCAGGAAAGGGTGAGGGCAACTCACTTGAAGAGAAGATTAAAAAGCTCCAGAAGCATCAGGCCTTCCAAGCAGAACTTTCAGCTAATCAGGGACGTATTGGTGAGATTCAAGAGAAGGGTGAAATGCTTTTGAAGAAGAAACACAAATCTTCTCGAGATGTGCGACAACAGCTGGATCAGCTGCTGGCTGCTTGGCGCACCCTTCTCCAGGAATCAAGTAATCATGGCAGAGGTCTGGAAGAGGCCCAAGACATTCTTGAATTCAACAATCAACTGGAGAAAATTGAAGCTTGGATAAGAGACAAAGAGATGATGGTTCAAGCTGCTGATATTGGGCGGGATTACGAGCATTGCCTGGCTTTGCAACGCAAGCTGGATGATGTGGATAGCGACATGAGAGTGGATGATTCTAGAATTAGGGCAATCAATGCTCTGGCAGACAAATTGATCAGACAGGGTAGAAGTGATACTCGTTCAGTTGATCAGAGAAGAGATCAGTTCAATAGCAAGCTGAAAGGATTGCAAGGTGCATTAGGTGACTATCGGGAAAGACTTGCAGGTGCATTAGAAATTCACTTATTCAACAGAGATGTTGATGACACTGCTCAAAGAGTTGCTGAGAAGGCTGTAGCCATGTCTAGTGAAGATACTGGACGTGACTTGATGGGAGTTGAGCAACTGCAACGCAAGCAAGATACACTTGAACGTGACATGACAGCAATCGAAGGCAAACTAAAGGAGCATGAAAATGAAGCTAAAAAGTTGTCTCAGAAGTATCCTGACATGGCTGCTCCCATTCGCAACAAGCTGTCAGCACTCACAGATGACTGGCGCAACCTGCTGCAGTTGTCAAGAAAGCGACGTGATGCTCTATCTGCTGCCTACACTCTTCATAAATTTAAGGCAGACCTCAGAGAGCTTGATATTTGGGTGGGCGAGGCTATCAAGAGAATGGGTTCCTCTGAACTTCCCTCCTCTGTGCCAGAAGCTGAAGCTATGCTGCAATTGCATCAAGAGCGGAAGGCTGAGATCGATGGCCGTCAAGAGGCATTCAAGGCCCTTAAAGAGTTCGGCCTTCGAGTGCCTGAGGCTGAAAGTGACATGAGTAAATTAGAAGAGCTAAGACGAACATTGGGAGCTGCTTGGGAAGATCGAAAACAGCGCCTCACCCAAGCTCACCAACTTCAGCTTTTCAGGGAACAAACTGACCAGGCTCACAGCTGGCTTGCTGGTAAAGAAGCTTTCCTCAATAATGATGATGTTGGAGATTCTCTATCCAGTGTTGAAGCTCTGCTCAGGAAACATGAAGACTTTGAGAAAACGCTTGTTGCTCAGTTGGGAAGGGTGGAAGAGCTAGAAAAGTTTGCTATTGAAATTCTCTCTGACCACCACTATGACAGCAATGCCATTACACAAAAATTGAAAAGCGTGGTTTCGAGACGAGACCGACTAAAGGAAGCAACTGCCGCACGACGCAAACGATTGCAGGAGAGCCGGCAACTTCACCAGTTCCTCAGGAACATGTATGAGGTTGAGGCGTGGCTCACCCAGAAACACCAAGTAGCTAGTGATGAAAGTTACAGGGATCCAACGAATCTCCAGAGCAAAATTCAGAGGCATGCTGCTTTTGAATCTGAATTAACTGCTAATCGAGCTCGGGTAAATGGGGTCACAGCGGAGGGTGAAGGATTGATTGGGGCTGGTCATTTTGCCTCAATGGAGATTCGGAATAGGCTTGATGAATTAGATGCTGAGTGGAGAAGACTGCAAGATGCTAGCATTTTGAAGCGGGAGAGGCTGAGTGATGCTTATCAAGCATTGCTTTTCAGCCGAACCTTAGAGGAAGTGGAAACTTGGATGGACGATGTTGAAGGTCAACTTGCTTCTGAGGACCATGGTAAGGACCTTGTCAGTGTACAGAACTTGCTAAAAAGGCACACACTTCTAGAAAGTGATGTCTTGGGACATGGGGAAACCTGTGAGCAAGTGAAAGACACTGCAGGTTCATTTGAACGATCCAACCATTTTATGAAGGAGGAAATCCAAGAACGAGCGGCTGCTGCAATCAAGAGGTATTTTCTTTTTTCTAAGAATGTATGAGCTGTCTGGAATTTTGTCCATAGGTTGCTTAAAGGTGTTTTTCTTTCATCTGTAGATATCGATCACTCCAAGAACCAATGCAGATTCGTCGAGAAAACTTGGAGGATGCATTGCTTTTGCAGCAGCTTGTGCGTGACGTTGATGATGAGATGCAATGGCTTGCTGAAAAGGAGCCACAAGCTGCTTCTCACGATCTTGGATCCAGCCTCACTGCCGTGCAAAGCCTTCAAAAGAAACATCAGGTAGGAATATATAAAGATAAGCTCTTTACCATTGTAAAAAAACTTTTAGAAACCAACTTACATGTGTACTTAATTTTTTCTTCTATCCTTTAAATTTAGGCTCTTGAGGCAGAAATTTTATCTCATGAACCTGTTGTATCAAGCTTAGTCAAAAGGGCTCTCCAAATGGTCCAATCAAGTCACTTTGCTGCTCAACGCATTGAAAAACTCAGCAGTGAATTGCAAGAAAAGCTGGGAACATTGAAAGATCTTTCAAGCGTGAGAAGGCTTCGGCTGCTTGACGCTGTTGAGTCCCAAATGGTTTGTTTTTACTTTCCCTCAATTAATATTTCTGTCACTCTTCTGGTTCTATTCTAATTAAGTACTAATGATTTATTTTCCTATCAGTTCTATGCTGAAGCAGCTGAAGCTGAGACATGGATGAAAGAAAAGCACCCAATGCTAGCCTCTAGTGATGTAGGGAAGGATGAAGATTCAGTTATCTCTCTGCTGAAGAAATTGGAGTCCTGTGAAAGAGACTTAAGTGCATTCCAACATACTATTGGACGCCTCGCAAAACTTTCAAGTGGTCTTGTAGACCGAGGCCACTTTGACAGTTCCAACATTAAACAGAAACAAGTTGATTTGGAGAGTCAATTTGCTCAACTTCAGAAGTTAAGGAAGTCCCGGGAAGAAAGGCTCATTGAAAGTAGAAAGCTGTTCCGGTTTTTGAGGGAGACTGAAGAAGTTGCTGAGTGGATTGGGGACCAAACCACTATTGCGGCATCTGAAGATTATGGTCGAGATGTTGAGCATGTAGAGCTTCTCATTCAGGTTTGTGGAGGATTTTATCTACGTCTATCTACAATGTAATTAATTTTTCCTGACATAAGCCTTAATATACCTTTTACTCTATTCCTCTCCAACAGACATTTGACACCTTCCTTAGTGGCCTTTCAGCCAGTGAGGGCCGCGTTTCAGCATGCTTGTCATCGGGGAGAGCACTCATTGCTGAAAAGAACCCCGAGTCTGGTCGTATTCAAGTGAAGCTCGACGAAACTCAGCAACTCTGGGAGGACCTTAAGGAATTAGCTCACGCCCGCCAGGAAGTAAGTCCTGCAGCAATGTCATACCCTTTATCTTTTTTAAAGGTGCAGTTAATATGATTCAATCTGTTTTCCAGGCACTTGCTGGAGCCAAACAAGTTCATGTGTTTGATCGCACTGCTGATGAAACAATTAGTTGGATCCAAGAGAAAGATGCCACCCTCATGTCAGAAGGGTATGGGCAAGATCTTGAGACGATTCAAGCACTTGTGAGGAAGCATCAGGGATTCGAAACTGACCTTGCAGCTGTGAAGGAGCAAGTTGAATCGGTTGGAGAGGAAGCAAAGCGTCTTGCCGAACTCTTCCCAGATGCTCGAGAACACATTGAAGTTAAACAGGAGGAAGCAATGGAATGCTGGAATGAACTTCTTGAGAAGGCAGCTCAACGTAAAGATAAGCTTAGTCAAGCAGAGCAGCTTCAAGCATACTTTGATCAATACAGGGATTTGATGTAAGTTAACTTGCCTCTTAGATTCAATTGCAACTCTTGCTTCAGTTGGTATTAAACATTTACTCTTTTCTTAGGTCCTGGATTAATGAGATGATTGCTAAGGTGACTGCACCTGATTTGGCTCAAGACGTTCCTGGAGCTGAAGCTCTTATAACTCGTCACTCTGAACACAAAGCTGAAATTGACACAAGAAGTGATGCCTTTGAAAAGTTTTATACCACAGGGAAACAACTTATTGATCAGGTAAACTAAATTCTCTAGTATAAACTAGTATTTTAAAAAATTGTGGCATTATTTTAATAGTTAATTTTTTTCTTTTTATTTAGGGTCACTTCCTATCTGATGAAATTGAAGAGAAAATTTCAGTCCTGGAACAACGAAGGAAGGCACTAAATGATACCTGGCACCTGCGCCAGACCATATATGAAGAGAACCTTGACACTCAGGTGAGTATTTTCAATGTATGTTTTCTTCATATAGACAAGATCTTGAAAAAGTAATATTCATGTTCATATTTTTTAGATGTTTAAGAGAGATGCAGACCAATTAGAAAACTGGCTCCAGTCAAGGGAAGCAATGCTTCATGACCCAAAGCTGGGAGACTCTATTCTGCAAGTAGAAGAGTTGATTAGGAAACATGAAGATTTTGAAAAGACGATTGAAGCACAGGAAGAAAAGTTCAATGCTCTCAAGAGAGTCACCATGGTCAGTAGTTGATAGCCTATTAAGTCTTCAATTCACTTTCTAAATTCACTTTGATGTTAGTGTACCATAACATTCACTTTTGATTTTCAGTTGGAGGAGGCATTTAGGAAACAGCAGCAAGCAGAAGAGGCAGCACGCTTAGCAGAAAGAGACAGAGTTGAGAAAGAACGTGTTGAAGCTCGCAAGAGGAAAGAAGTGCAGCGTATCACAGATGTACGATCTTTTGCTGGTGCTTTAAGATTGTTTCCCTTCCACTCTATAACTTAACATTTTATTCTTATATTTTCAGGAAAGGCGGTTAGAGGAAGAAAGAAGACGTGTGCATGGGCCTAGACTTGGAAGGGACGAAATCAATGGAGACAGGTACAGTAACCAATTCTTTTTAATTGTATGCTTTGAAAGGTTGACCCTTTTTTTTGCGTTTGCATGTTTTGATATTGGGTCCAGGCCAGATACTTATTTTGAAATGCATGAATTTCTTTCCTGTCCTTACTCTATTTTTGTATATTTCCCTTTACCATCCTTCTCAATCCTTCTTCTAACGGGTTTCTCTTTTCTCTGGCCTGGTGCATGCCATAGCAAGACACTATTCTGTCATGGGGTGGGGAGTAAATTTGTGAAAAGTGCATGATGTAGCTCTCTTATAATGCATGCTATGTCTATTCTTACCAGCTCAGAGAATGTTGTCCCATCAGTCTCAGTCACTGAGGAAGATGACTCTTCTATGGTTGGTGCATTTGCTATCGTGAAATCTAATTCTGTTTCTGCAATTAACCCATCAAGGTGTTGTATAACTGATTGAAAACTTTCTTTCGTCTCTCTTCTCTCATAATAAAACTTCACTTTTGTATGAATATGCTCTCTATTTTCCAGGCTCCATGCTCCTGACAACACAGATACTGGTGTTCAAAAGTCCAGTAGTATTTCTCAAATGTTTGGAGATCGCCTCAGGAAGGGTAACAATAAACATTAAAATTTTTTGCAATGTATTTAATACAACAACTCCTTTAGAAATTGTCATGATTTTTTTTCCTGTGCAGCTACTGGAGATGTAAAGAGAGCTGAAAGTATGCGTGTAGAACTTAAGAAGCCAAAAAGAACTCCAAGCTTTACAACCCGTCGTCGCACTCAGAGCTTCCGCAAATTGCAGCGAATGGAACAACAACTGGAGCAGCTGCCCCCTGTGGAGATTCAAGGCATGCTGGATCGAAAGCACGAATTGCAAGGTGGAGGAAAGAAGGCTGCTGTTCGATCATGGAAGTCTTTCTACACTGTCTTGTGTGGACAGCTTCTGTGCTTCTTCAAAGATCAGCAAGATTTCCACGACAGCAAGGCAGCCTCCTCCCCTATGGTCATCTTGAAGGCACGATGTGAAAAGGCTGATAACTACACCAAAAGGAAACATGTTTTCAGGTTAGTTCTTAGTTTATTTAGAGTATATGTAAAGTTACATTTCAGTAACATATTTAACTGGATAACTGTATTTCAGGCTGTGCTGTTTGGATGGCTCAGAGTTCCTATTTTTAGCACCCAATGAAGCCGAAATGCTGGATTGGGTCACAAAAATTTCTTTCCATGCTCAGTTGCCTCCAAGTATGCAGCTGCTGAGCTATGATGAATCACAGAAGGTGGGAAGCTTGGTTCAAAACCTTCTTCAAATTATCTTTGTGTTGCCTTTCACACTAATTTTTTATATTTTTAATTTATGCACTTATAGCAAGGTACAAATAATTTAGACCGAGTGCCTGCTGTGGGATCCAATGTGGATGTCAGCTCAGGATCTAGTCGAGGCTCATCTCCTGAAACAAACCCTCGCCGCCCCAATACATTACCTACGAATTCATTCCCGAGAGGTGCTCCAAGTCAAACTCAACTTTTACAACAACATCGAAATAACAACAATTTACCACCTCAAGTTATTCCTCGGCAAGCCCCACCTCCAATTCCTCTTCGTTCACCAACAACTGAAGTCACAACTGATGGTATGAGACCTAGGCCACATGGTATGTCCTCTATCTTTCCATTTTTCTCCTGAATTCTAGGATGTGCTGTTATTAACACCTGCCTACTTACAGATGGAGAATTCATGAGACCACCTTCATTTAACCCTCAGTCAAGAGGATCTACGCTGCCAGCTCAACAGCGACTTTCTAATCAGAACAATGCTACTTACACCAACGGCGATACTGCATGGCGGCATCAGAGTAGTCAGGAGCTGACTTCACCCCATCAAGGTACAAAATATTGGCTGTTATAAATTTTAAGTGTCTTTTCTTTCTAATTTGCCAGTTAATTAGGGTGCTTTTGTGGGATCTGATTTTTTTGGAGAGTTTGCTTCTAGTTTTTAATTTACAATGACTTTTTATGATAGCTTTACTTTTGGACGCATTAGTTTCTTCATGAGGGCTTTTGCGAATTTATGTCATGCAATCTTATTGCTTAAACCATGTGCTTACATAACAATATCTGCTTGTTGCTGTTAGAATCCCCACCCCCACTGCCATCATCAGCTCCCCCGAATAGACCTCCTATGGGTATGCTGCCGGGTGTGCCTCAGCTGCAACATCGAGATAGTTGGGAAAATCAAATACCTCAACAACCAAGTAAGTGTCTTTATCAGTTACACTAACAAAACATATGTTGGCTTTCATTTTTATTTTTTATGACACACTGAAGGGTAGCTTCAATGTCTCTGTTTTAGAACTATATGTAAACTAACAACTTTGCCAACTATTGGATTTTGTTCCATCCCAATGTTTACAAAAACTCATTTCTTTCTTTTTTCCTTTTTTCCTTTTCCAGTTTATCGCAATGTGGGAACCGCAGGGAAGCAGGTAAGAGACACATTCCAATCCTAATTAATTCCTCTCTATTCTATCTATTTAATAAAAAATCTATTCTTGTTGTTCTTTTTTCTTACAGGTACAGCCTCGAGAAGCTGTGGTGGTTCCTGTTGGCAGCAGTAGCCGGCCCAATTCTTTGCCACCATATGTTGCACCACCACCCGCTGGGTCTCTTCATTACCATCAACTCGACCGTACCAACTCAGGCAACATGGTTCAACGTAGGCCTAGTGAGAGCTCTAGCGAAAATGAGCATTCCAATAAGGGATCACGATCCCCATCTAACAATGAAGGGAAAGATAGACGCAGTAGTGTTTTGAGCAATTTGTTCCGAAGAAAACAGCGCCAGGACCGTGTTTAATGTTATTTGTCTGTTTGTTGAAGGATTAATCAATTCATTTCCATCTCTTTTTAAGTTGACTTTGATTCCTATTGGAAAACAGGAATCTGTCTTAAAGCTTCAGACCTTTAAGCTGGATGTTCGGAACTTTTGTCCAATTTTATTTTGTAGGTTTGACTAGAAAAAATTGTATGCATATGATGAGGCTAAAATATAAAAACATACCAAATTCATGAATTGTACAGATTGAAAATTAATTTATCTGTAATATTTGCTGTGTATGGCCAATGATTATAGAGGCCAAAGAGTGTACCATATTCTTAGTTGGAAAGTAGAAGGATGGCCTGCAGCTTTCTTCATACTTGCCAACAGGGTGATGAGAAAAATTTCTGTTCTTGAAACAATGAATGTATTTTGCCCAGAATTACCTCAGCCCTTTTATTGATTGTTAACATTGTTTTGAAGTTCTTTATGAAAACTGTTGCAAATTTGTTATATTTATCTGTACATATACAAAGTGATTAGTGTGTGATTTATGTTATGATTTATCTTTGTTACATATCCTGTCTAATCCCATTGATCATAGATTATGTATCTGCAGCACCCATATCAATTAATATCTCGTTAAAAAAATGCTCTGGAGTTTAACTGTGGAAGACCTGTGCCATCAGGATTTTATTGTTATTGGGTAGATGTTGACATAGCGACTTTTGCTTTTGTGTTATAGAGATTATATATCATGGTGTATATACGCCTTCTTTTGTGGATATTTATACTATAAATATATATATATTTACAGTTTATGTATATTAAAGCTGTAAAAAATACATATAATTCTGTTATATATTTGTAAGTTCTGTAAATTAAAGATCGTGTTTAGGGGTTTATACTCCTTGTCAGAGTTGTCAATTTATGTGCTTTGATGCTAGAGGCATCTAAAACAATAAATTGTTTGAAATTCAAAATCTTTTCTTTTCTGTAAGTCCCATGGCTACATTTTAGACGTTAATGTCAAGCGAAACCTGTTCGAACCTCACAGAAGGCGATTGAACCATGGCGTCAGAACAACAAGGCAAATCATATAACATTTGACCAACGATTTATTAGGTTTATATCAAGGCCTATACGAGTAATAGCGGACAGACAGTGATCAAGCTGCTTGCGTGAGGTTGAACAACATAACAGAGTCTCCTGCAATGGTAGTCAGGGCGCCCTGGATGGCAGAGGCGAGTGCGCTCATGGCGACAGCAGTGGAATTGGACGAGTCAGCCGAAGCGCTCTGACCTCCGACGGTGATGTCGATCAGAATCTGGGGCTGGACAGTGGTAGTCGCCTCGGCATCACTTTCAGCGACGGAAGCCAGGTTCTCCAATGCCTCCACCACATTCTCAATGGCGTCGGCGACGTCCTCACTCACATCGGAAGATGCTGTCTCCTCAGCAGCCACACCGGTCAGGTCAACATTTGCGCTGAGAGTGGACGCAGCCGCGGTGGTAGTATCCGCCTCGGGGGCAGCCTCCTCCTCTACGACCTTGTCGCTGCTGGTGCTAATGTTGATGTCAAGGTCGATTTTGGCAGCAGCGGCGGTGGTAGTCTCTTCGGCGGCAGTGGTAGTCTCCTGGGCGGCGGTGGTTGTGTCCTGTTTCTCCACAATGTCCAAGTCGATGGTGATCAGTCCATCGGCATCGGGAGCTGCCTCCTCCTCTACGACCTTGTCACTGCTGGTGCTAATGTCGATGTCAAGGTCGATTTTGGCAGCAGCGGCGGTGGTAGTCTCCTCGGCGGCAGTGGTGGTCTCCTGGGCGGCGGTGGTAGTGTCCTGTTTCTCCACAATGTCCAAGTCGATGGTGATCTGTCCATCGGTGTTGTCCGCAGCCTCCTCCTCTACGACCTTGTCGCTGCTGGTGCTAATGTTGATGTCAAGGTCGATTTTGGCAGCAGCGGCGGTGGTAGTCTCTTCGGCGGCAGTGGTAGTCTCCTGGGCGGCGGTGGTTGTGTCCTGTTTCTCCACAATGTCCAAGTCGATGGTGATCAGTCCATCGGCATCGGGAGCTGCCTCCTCCTCTACGACCTTGTCACTGCTGGTGCTAATGTCGATGTCAAGGTCGATTTTGGCAGCAGCGGCGGTGGTAGTCTCCTCGGCGGCAGTGGTGGTCTCCTGGGCGGCGGTGGTAGTGTCCTGTTTCTCCACAATGTCCAAGTCGATGGTGATCTGTCCATCGGTGTTGTCCGCAGCCTCCTCCTCTACGACCTTGTCGCTGCTGGTGCTAATGTCGATGTCAAGGTCGATTTTGGCAGCAGCGGCGGTGGTAGTCTCTTCGGCGGCAGTGGTAGTCTCCTGGGCGGCGGTGGTAGTGTCCTGTTTCTCCACAATGTCCAAGTCGATGGTGATCAGTCCATCGGCATCGGGAGCTGCCTCCTCCTCTACGACCTTGTCACTGCTGGTGCTAATGTCGATGTCAAGGTCGATTTTGGCAGCAGCGGCGGTGGTAGTCTCTTCGGCGGCAGTGGTGTCTCCTGGGCGGCGGTGGTAGTGTCCTGTTTCTCCACAATGTCCAAGTCGATGGTGATCAGTCCATCGGCATCGGGAGCTGCCTCCTCCTCTACGACCTTGTCGCTGCTGGTGCTAATGTCGATGTCAAGGTCGATTTTGGCAGCAGCGGCGGTGGTAGTCTCTTCGGCGGCAGTGGTAGTCTCCTGGGCGGCGGTGGTAGTGTCCTGTTTCTCCACAATGTCCAAGTCGATGGTGATCAGTCCATCGGCATCGGGAGCTGCCTCCTCCTCTACGACCTTGTCACTGCTGGTGCTAATGTCGATGTCAAGGTCGATTTTGGCAGCAGCGGCGGTGGTAGTCTCTTCGGCGGCAGTGGTAGTCTCCTGGGCGGCGGTGGTGTGTCCTGTTTCTCCACAATGTCCAAGTCGATGGTGATCAGTCCATCGGCATCGGGAGCTGCCTCCTCCTCTACGACCTTGTCACTGCTGGTGCTAATGTCGATGTCAAGGTCGATTTTGGCAGCAGCGGCGGTGGTAGTCTCTTCGGCGGCAGTGGTAGTCTCCTGGGCGGCGGTGGTAGTGTCCTGTTTCTCCACAATGTCCAAGTCGATGGTGATCAGTCCATCGTGTCGCGCAGCCTCCTCCTCTACGACCTTGTCGCTGCTGGTGCTAATGTCGATGTCAAGGTCGATTTTGGCAGCAGCGGCGGTGGTAGTCTCTTCGGCGGCAGTGGTGGTCTCCTGGGCGGCGGTGGTAGTGTCCTGTTTCCCCACAATGTCCAAGTCGATGGTGATCAGTCCATCGGCATCGGGAGCTGCCTCCTCCTCTACGACCTTGTCACTGCTGGTGCTAATGTCGATGTCAAGGTCAATTTTGGCAGCAGCGGCGGTGGTAGTCTCCTCAGCGGCAGTGGTGGTCTCCTGGGCGGCGGTGGTAGTGTCCTGTTTCTCCACAATGTCCAAGTCGATGGTGATCTGTCCATCGGTGTTGTCCGCAGCCTCCTCCTCTATGACCTTGTCGCTGCTGGTGCTAATGTCGATGTCAAGGTCGATTTTGGCAGCAGCGGCGGTGGTAGTCTCTTCGGCGGCAGTGGTAGTCTCCTGGGCGGCGGTGGTAGTGTCCTGTTTCTCCACAATGTCCAAGTCGATGGTGATCAGTCCATCGGCATCGGGAGCTGCCTTCCCTTCTTCGCCTTTGTCGCTGATGTCAATTTTGATGACTTCGGGGGTAGCTGTGGTCGTGGTGGTCTCGACGGTCAACTCGATCTCTACATCATCGGCGTCTGAGGCAGTTTTTTCAGCATCGACGGTGAGCAGTATGTCCTCTGCGATGGCAAGGGAAGCTTCAAGCTGGGCATCGGCTGCCTTCTTTGCGCTCTCTGCTGCCTGAATGTAGCCGTCAATGAGTGCGTCGGTGAGGTTCTGGATGCTGTCGATGGCGGCGAGGCCATCGTCGATCGCAATGTCGACGTCCTCGTTGGCCTCTGCTGCGGCTTTCAGCTCAGCTTCGACTCCAGCGGCAGCCTTGCTCTTCTCCTCGAGGACGGCCTCCAGGGTCTGGTCGTCCGCGTTGGATTCCAGAGCCAGCGTGACCTGGACGTCGGCGGCGTAGTCAACCTGTTCGGCGGCCTCCATGGCGGAGTCCAGGGCTTCGTCAACGGCGGTCCTGGCCTCCACGACGAGCTGCTTGTTGGCCTCGATCTCCTCCTCGGCGGCTTCCTTCAGTTCGGCAGCATCCGACTCGCCCTTCTTGATGATCTCATCGAACACCTGAGGGAGAAAGCAGACTCACAGCAGGCGGTATAGGGAGATTTCATTCAAAAGCCCGCGCGGACTTACCTCGCTTGCTTCACGAGCGATGCGCACGGCGGCCTGGGCGGCAGCTTCTCGCTGCTCGTCAATTTCGGCGGCAATTTTGATCTGGGCGGCGATGGAGTTGCTGGCGATCTCTAGAGCCTCCTTGGCCTGCTCGGTGGCCTTGGCAATGGTCTCCTGCACCTTGCGCTCGGCGTCCTGGGCGACCTCGATGCCGGCGGCCAGGGCGGCCCTGGCGGTGTCCTTGGCGGCGTCCGCGGCCTCGAACCCAGCGGCCAGGGCGGCCTCGGCAGCGTCAGCAGCCCTCTGCAGAAGGCCTTCGTCGGCCGCCTGGGAGGCGATGTCGAGGTCCTTCTCGGCCTCGTCCTTACCGCGATTCACGAGCTCCACGGCGGCAACAGCCTTCGCCTCGTCGCGCTTGATGACCACCGAGAGCTCCTGGTCCTCCTCGTCCTCCTCGTCGTCGTCCAAGCCGAGGAAGTCGCCCAGCTTGCCGAGAGCCGACCTGGCTGCCTTCAGGGTGGATGCGAAGATGCCTTCCTCCTCTTCCTCCTCCTCCTCAACCACCTTGACCTTGAGAGCGCCGTCGACGAGACCCAGGGTGAAATTCTTGGGCTCGTCCACGGTCTTGGTAACGGTTATCTTGTTCTCCTCATCGTCAGAGTCCCAGCCGAACCAGCCGAGTCCGGAGCGGAGTCCCCTGCTGGCGGACTGGAGGGTGCGCTCGAAGGTGGAGAGGCTGTCCTCGACACCCTCGGCCGCGGCGTGGAGAGCCTCGTCGCTGGCGCTCGCTGTGTCCGCGGCCACCTTCACCTTCACGACGGCGTCCTTGGCGGCATCCTCGGCGAGCTTTGCGTTTCCGCGGCCGCCGAAGTTGAAGCCGAACAACGGCGTGCCCGAAGCAATCTGAGAAAACCCACGATTGTTGTTGGCAAGCACTTTTTGTAAGCCGGAGAGGAAAAGATTCACTTTTTACCTGCAGGGCGCAGAAAGCCAAGACGACGAAAGACACAATTTTCGCCATGCTGCCGATGGAGAGACAGTGTCGTCGCCGGCGGCTCCGCCCTTTTATACTTTCGCATCGTGCATGAGTTCAGGTGCGCGGTGTTTGCTCTTCGGCGAGGTACCCGGCCAAGCTCAGACGGCGAGTCAGGAAAACACAAGCCAAGTGCACACCATCGCAGAAACTTGGCGATTTCAAACAGACCCACGACCTTCATGCCGCCTCACCCTGTCTTGTTTTTTGTCGAATCCCAATGACGAGAGACTTAAAGGTGTTGCCTGGGGTGCTCGGAGGGTGGCAAAACTGAGTGTCAGAACGATGAGAACCCGCACTAACTGTAGTCTAGGGAAATCGCCGCGTGCTGTTCGGCTTGGCGCTGGCGCGCACTGGCATCACACTGTCAGACCTTCACCTTGTACTTTGTTTGCAGTTCACTGGCATTGCTGGCAAGTCTTGGCTGTCTCGGGACGAACAATTGAATTTGTTCCTGGGTGGAAGCGTCTGCCGAAAAGTATTGCGGAATTTGGTAATCACGGACGTTTGTCTGGAGGAACTTGTAGGGAAGGCCGTGCCGTGGCGCCTTGACCCCGTGCATACCCCACGCTCAGAGAGGCCCACGAGTCCAGCTCGGAGTCCCTCGGGCGCGGAGTGTCGCCGGCCAGCCAGGCTCAGACCACCGCCGCCGGATCCACCGACTCCACCGCCGGTCAGCCGGTCCGCGACGCGACGCGACGGCGTGGCGGCTGTGTCCCTCATGAGATAAAATGTTTGGCCGCGACCCTATACACTCTCCGCCCCTCCTCGTCCCCCCTCCCCTCCTCTTGGAAAGGCCTGCTGGGGCCGCGGGGCAGCCCGGGGCCTTCTAGACCGCCACCGCCGCCAAGTTGCTTGCTGCTCTTCTCGGGCTGCTCGCTGCGCGGACGCGCCGCGTCTCCGCGTCCACAGTGGCGCACGCCCCGCCGTCCGAGCTGCATCCGTTGCGTTGCCGGCCCACGCCGTGGACGCCGTGTTCGAGGCAGTGTAGCGCAGTGTAGCGAGGGGAAGCACCCAGTGCAGGCTGGCGCACTTGGCGACGTCGGCGCGGACCAACTCAGCCGGCCCAGCAGCGGGCCGAAGCTAGCCGCAGCCCTCCAGCGGGGACGGGACAGGCCCCCAGGACTACCCAGGACTACCCAGGACCATCCTGTCCGGGGCTCGGTGCTCGGCGAGCTGGACTTGTGCCCGGCCGGCAGAGGATGTGCTTTGACAGATAACCGCAAGGCGAGCAGCCGCCTGCCGCCCGCCCCGCCGCCACCCATTGTATAACTGTCAACTTTGACCCATAGACAAACAAGCGTGCCAGCAGCACGGTGCCAGTTTGGGCGAGACAGGCCCCGGGACTATGTGGCGTGCTAGTGCTAGCGCGCCCAGCCAGGCTCAGTGCGCAGGGGTGAATTTTTGAGTGTCGTCTGAACCTGTGTCGCCGCAGCGTCGGGGCAGCCTAGCCTCCAACATGGCCTCGTCGTGGTGCGGTAAGTGTTTGAGTGTTCGGCGCTGCGATCGGCAGCCCCGAGGGCAGCTCCGAGGGCAGGGCAGTCCCGGCTAGGGCCGCCGGTTGACAAACAAGACGCATGCAGGCCTGCCGGGTTATTCAACCGGCAGCGTCATTGTTTCCAATCTGCAATGGGCATCTGCGCTGTCAAGACGATAGTGAAGGATTGTCGCCAGGACTGCGAGTGGATTGTCGTGCTGGAGGGGTAAAGAAGGGGGGCGGGGGGCGCTTGGAACATTTCCCGCCACTTTCCCAATTTTGTTTCCGAGGGGCGTTTTCTAAATTTACCGCCCCTACCGCTGCACCCCGAGTACTAGCCACTGTCGGCCTGTCAATGGGATGACCGGGGCGCTGGGGAGACGGGGACGGGGCGGGGAAGGCAGGAGGGTGAAAAACAAAAAGACAGGCTCCGCCTACTCTACAGACGCGATGCCCGATAACAGAGCGTGGATACGAATGCTGGGCACAATACAGATAAAGGTTTTTTTTCGTACCTCAAGTAACGTTTCTCTTGGCGCCAAAGTCTGGAGTAGGTAGGCAGGCCGTGATTCCGGTTTCGTTGAGAAGGCCCTTCGGCCGACCGAATGCAGAGGCACTATAGGGCCGCCCTCAGGGCTGCGTCACTGCTGATCGATTGATTGATCATCGATTTCGAGACATCGAGACTCGGCACTGACGCACGTGCACCGGCGTAAAAGTGAAAGGGCCGTCATCGCCGTGCATTCTCAGCATTCGCGTTCGGCGCGGCGATAACTGGCATCAATAACTCGCATCAATTTAAAGGGAAGGCGCATTACGCCAAGTGGCCAAGTGCTCACGTCGTGAGGTGACCAAGGCTATCGCGGGCACGGCGGGCACGCCTTGCAAGTCCAAGTGCTGCACGGCGCGGCGTGCGGTCGGACAGGAGACGTGCATCGCCGCCTTTTTGTGCAGCCTCGTGGGGCCATCCTCTCTCCCGTCCAATCGAGGGATAGGACCATTGCACTTACTTGATGTGGGTTCAAGGCGAATTTCGAAATTTCGATACGCTGTTTCCCTTTTTAAAAAAAAAAAAGTGGGTCCGCGCGACTAGTTCATCTCTGGCGTTCACAAAAAGAAGAAAATTGGGGATATGACGCAGAGGCAATGCGTCGATAGTGCGCGTTGCGGACAAAACAACCAATTTCACTACGCACGACGCGCACGACGATGTGGAATGTAGAGCGACCCTGACCAACTTGTGATTTTGGTCGCCGATAAGAGGCCTAGTATCTCCACTCCTCTGCCTAATTTTGTGACGAACTGCGCGTCCGAAATGGCGCCGTCGGAGTGGCTGCTGCCGAACGCCGCGTCCTTCGTCCCTCCGCTTCGGGCGCAGCCAGCCATCTTGGGGCGGCGCGGCGCAGTGTTGGGGCACGGCGACGAACACTTTCGGTTCGGTTCGACAGCGATCGTGGAAGCGGTTTCGGGCGGCCGGCGCGCCCGGCGGACGCGATGTGTTGATAATGAGGCATAAGTCCGCGCGGACCCCGCCGTGCCGTGCCGTGCCGCTGCCGCTCAATACGCGGAGGACGGGCAGGCGCCACGCCACGCCGCGTCTAGCTATCGTCGAGAATGGTCGGGAAACTGGCCCAGCCAGGCCGCCGCCTCTGACTCATTTGTTTGCAAGGCTTTCTTTCGCCAAGAACGCGCTTTCTTGGGAAAGTTTTGGCGCGCACCGTTGCATTCGCTGCATTTGCCGCGCCGTAACTGCCTCCCTCCGGCGAGCCCGCCGGCCTGGTCTTGGTCGGCTCACCTGCCAGGGACGCGGGCGCACAACTGGACCAGCCAGACAACTGCTCTAATTTCGAGTGCCCTTTCCGACGGAGTTTTGCGGCGCCTATCTCTGCGCTTTGCCAAGACGGGATGTCCAGGGCCCTTCTAGTCCCTAGACTGCGGGTCTGCAGGGGGTGTCTGCCCTGGCCTAGGTCTGACCGCGACAGACGCGTCGTCGGACTCCGACCTAGGGCCACCCGTGGCAACCCGCCAAGCCCCGAGCCACGCCAGGCTACGCCCCGAGAGGCCCGAAAGGCCGACGCGACGCCGAAGTGGTGGCTAGACTATCGCTATCGGGCACCCCTCCTCCCCCCCCCCCCTCCATTGCCCCCGGCGCTGCTCTCTGACTTATTGTGTCCATACGAAAGATGGCTGAACCGATTACGGGTCCATGCCGGTTCCCTTGACAGCGTCGGACAGCCTCGGCGGTGCAGCACCTTGACGGCTGCTGGCAGCGCTGGCAGCCACGCGGGGAGTGCTTCGCAGTGCTGCGTCTGCGTACCGAGCGGGCCGGGCTAGAGAGCCCGGAGCGCCGTGCAGGTAGGCAATGCTGCGGGGTGCACGCACAGGTGTCTCGGCGTTGCCTATCGCGCAGGTGTCGGGCGCTCCCGGCCCCCCGGCGCGCTCGCTGGCACGGCCGCTCCGCCGCCTTCGCCAGAGAAGTGGGAGGGGAAAGGGGAAAAGGGGGAGGGGGTGAAGCAGCCAACCGGCCACCGAGATTGAATGAACGTGCGACGCCGCGACGATACTCGTTGATCTTGATAGGCAGTTCGCGGAAGTCCTCGCGGGTTGAAAATTCAGCTGGGTAAACTCGCTACTCACGAGGCGCGGGGCGCGGTGTTTGCGCAGGCCTGCCCCTGGCGCTGCTGCTGGTGCTGCTGGCCTCGTCCGCGGCGGCCGAGTCGCTCTTCCAGGATGGCGTCGAGTCCACGTTCCGGTGGGACGCGGCCATCGCCACGGGCACCAAGCTGCCCGTGCACGTGCTCAGCCAGTGGCTGGTGTCGGGCACACTGCGCGTGCAGGGCAGCCCGCACGACAGCGCGCTCATCCAGGTGGCCGACGTGACCACGTCGCTGTGGAACGGCGAGGTGGGCGCGCTGCCGCCCGTCGCCGACCCCGTGCACGTCCGGGACAGCCCCCTGCTGGGCGCCTTCCGCGCCAGCTACGCGGGCGGCAGGGTGACCAGCGTGGAGCTGCTGGACGAGGAGCCGCTCTGGGCGCACAACATGAAGCGCGCCATCGCCAGCATGCTGCAGGTGGACCTGCAGGCCGCCAGGAACGCCGCGCAGCCCGTCGCGGAGGTCAACGAGGTACCCATTCATCATTATCATTGTGCCTGACTAAAGCGGTCCGTAAGAAACTACAGTGTTTCAGAACCCTCACTTACCGCCGTAACTACAGTCAAAACTGTGTTTTGAGTACTGCGAATCCCGGCACTTGACGGTGGACACTGTAGTTTCGCGTTGAAGGAATCACACACTCACAGCCACCTCCAATCTGCTCCACAGGAAACGGTGCACGGCAAGTGCAAGGTCAAGTACATCGTCTCCCACGACAGGGGCAACCAGACCGTGCGCAAGTTCACGGACCACAAGGGGTGCGTGGCGTGGACGCAGGAGAACTGGAGCAACATGGCGCCCCTGTGTCCGTCCAGCCCGCAGGTAGCTTCTTTGTTTTTTGTTCTTTGTTTTTCTTTTTGGCGGGCGAGTCGAGAGTTAGAGCTTGAGTTGTTGCGTCCAGGCGCAACAGGTGCAGTCGCCCCTGACGTCGCACAGCGAGGCGGTGTACACGCTGTCGCCGGCCGGGGAGGGCGGACGGCGCGACCTGGTGCACGTCAAGTCCAGCGGCATCCTGCTGCTGCAGCCCTTCCAGTCCAACGCCGAGATGCAGTACATGCAGGCCACGTGAGTGGGGTGGGATTTGATTTGATGGAAAACGAAATGCGGCGTTAACCGGAGCGACCCCGCTGGCCCGCAGGCAGACGCTGACGCTGCTGAAGATCGGCGCCGTGACGCAGCCCATCGAGCGCAGTGGCGCCACGCGGCCGTCCAGCCTGGCCTACGTGCACGCCGTGCACCAGCCCCTCGCCAAGGCCGCCGCGGAGGAGGCGAGCGCCAAGGTGAGGACCGCGTCGACCGCGTCGCTGTGTTCTGACTCGCCGACGGGCTGCTTGTAACACAGTCCTGGTGGTGGCAGGTGATGGGGCTCCTCGAGCGCATGGCGCAGCAGCTCGGCCAGTCCAACGTGGTCCCGGACCCCGACAGGCTGCACGAGCAGACGGCCGTCCAGCTGCTGGAGATCCTGGTCGGCCTGGACTACGCCACGCTCGACCAGCTCCACGGCTCCGTCATGGTGGGCACCAGCTACGAGCAGGAGACTATGGGGTGCGTCGTGCTGGCCATGTCAGCGGGGGTGGGGGTGGGGGTCGCCCATGCCGGGTGCTCATGTATCCACGTCTGCTTTGCCGTTCGTCTAGGAATCTTTTCCTGGAGCTGCTGCCTCAAGTCGGCACTCGCGACGCCGTCCTCCTGACGATAAACCTCGTCAAGGACAGGAAAGTGACCGATTGGACGGCCATCCACTTGCTGATGGCACTTCCCTTCTACCTGCGGCAGCATTCCCTGGCGCAGCATAGCCCCGAAGAAATGTTGCAGGCTTGTGAGGTGTGTTTGTCTATGTTGTGCAGTTACCGAAAGGAAAAAAAAATGGAAATGATTTTTTAAACATACTTGTGACATGAAAAAAAAAATTCCTTGGTGCTCTTATTTTTAGGCAATGCTCTCTATTGAGGATGTGAGTAATGATGTTAGGAAAACAGCTGTTCTCACTTTTGCATCCCTGGTGAAGAAAATGTGCAATGGACGATGCAGGGCAGAGACAATTGAAAAATATATAAGAATATACGTAGACAAATTCACAGGTAAAATATTTTTGAGTACAACTTAACTTCAATTTGACCAGTGGTTTTTGTGATTTTCACAACACGTTCTTTCAGAAAGCACATCCTATGAGCAGCAAATGTTATATTTGGAGGGTCTTAGCAACATGGAAATGCCTCAAGTTGTGAATTTTCTTGAGCCTGTAATTCAAGGAAATGTCACAGACCTTTCCAGGCATTCTTCCCACCATATACGGTTCCTTGCTGTATGGGCTACCATGAGCACTGCACCTCATGCCCCAGCCAGGGTAACAACTTTTCTAACAAACTCAATCAAAAGTTATTTGGTCTTAAAACTGAATTTATTGTGAACATTGAACCATTTTTATAGGTTTATAATCTATATTGGCCCATCTTAACAAACTCTTCAGAGCATTTGGAAATGAGAGTGGCAGCTCTGACTATGCTGATGGCGTCCGTTGATAGTCCAGCAAGATACTGGTCATTGTATTGGTACATCAGAGGTCAGACTAATAACCACTTGTACAATTTCTTCTATACTACTCTTCATTCTTTAGCACAAACAAAATACCCCTGCTTTTCACACCTGTAAGTCTGCTGTTTAAAATCTTCAAATTTTAATGCAATGCAGTATCATTTATTTGCTAATAAATACCAGTTTCATTAATTTTTTAAACTTTTTTTTCAGTGCACAGGCTGCATCACAATTAGTTCGAGTTGTGCCTGAACCAGAGGATCGTACGTGGCCAACGGGAAACTACATAACTGATTACGAGCATCAATCCCTGGGAGTAGGAGGATTCCTGCAACTTTTCATGGTGGGAAGTGAACGTACATTCCAGCCAACAGTGATCTACCTAACATTTGGCAAACATGCATCTCAACGCAAACTGGCAGATGTTTCTGTAAGTAGCATGAAATAAACTTATAATTTGAGCCTCACTGGAAGAAAATCTCCTCACTAGTGTCTTCTTGGTTTACAGGTGTATCTGAAACTTCAAGGAGTCAGTGAAACCTTTCAAGCAGCTGTCATGAAAACAGACTTTTCAAATATGAAAATTCCACAACTTCTGGAGCTGCTGCTCTCATTAAAAGTGCATCCAAAGTATCCTGAGCCTATACACATCGAGTTTTTACTGAAAAGGGAGGGGCGCGTGATTCTATGTTACCATTTGAACAACACTGTCCACAGCTTAGGCACATGTAAGAGAGGAAAAAAATGCCAATACTTGTAAAACGCATGAAAATTTTCAGAATTTAATTTTTATAATTATTATTCAGTGAGGGACAAAATCACAACTTTCTTCAGCCGGTTCCATGTGAATGCCCAACGACTTTGGTATCCTGTTCTGTTGGAAATGACACAACCCACTCTGCTCGGTACTCCAGCTAATATTCTATTGACGTCATCGGTACTAGCATCTTTACGAGGTGATTTCACTCAACATTCAATCACCAGAAGTATTGTAAGACAAAACAGACTTGATGTGAGGTAAACCACGCTAATTTTCATTATTGCAATGGGAAAATCTTCACTTTCAACTGGCAATTAACCTTTTTAATATATATTACAGATTATCAGTGAGTGTGGACACAGCATTAAAATCTTTCAATCCTCTTAGTGATGTTTGGCATGGAGTTGATCGATCTCTCGGATTCCACGGGCAAATTCCTTTCATGTGCAACATTTCTCTGGACACCAACGTTCATGTCAGCCTTGGCCCTTTAAATGGTTAGTCTTAGTCATAGTTAAAACCAAAATATATTTTAAAGTTGAGTTTAACAAAATTCTTCTAGCCTAGGTAACATAAAGGAAAGTAAAGAAAGAATATTTTAATTCTGTTCACTCTGTTCACAGATACTCTTGGGTCGGTTGGACATTTGCGTAGTGGTGTATTTGTTCAAGGTCTAGCAGCTGAGAATGCTTTGTTTCATCACTGCAGAAAATGCTTGTTGTACCATAAAGTCGGTGCTTATCAAGATAATCCCAAAACTGTAAGCCAAATTAACACCTTTGTTCTCAAGAAACTACTTTTGTTTTCAATTGCTCATTTTATTTATTTTTTCTAGCGAGATGTGGTAGACTTGACTATTGAGGATGTAGGTGCAAAACTACAGGTCTCGTTGTTTGATTGTGACCGTCCTTATAGCACTTTGGACTACATCAAACTTGGGGCTGGTCTTCTGGACCCTCACACTAACAACTACCAGTAAGTGGCACATGCTGGTGTCAAAATGTAGATTCATAAATTGGATGCAAAGAAATTTTGTTTTTGGTTTTACGCAGAATGGTTCCTGGTGGCTTACCTCTCCTGGGCCTCATTCACCTTGCTGATGTAGCATTAATTCAGGCCCCGCGGGGCTCTTGCGGAGTCATTTCAACCCTACGAACAGTTGGAAGTAGCAACACTGAGGTGCTGGTCCATTTCTCTTTCCTAATTCAGGGTGTGCTTATGAGCAGTACAGGTTTTACTAACATTATTTTTCTTTACTTTTGTGTTAGTTGGATCTGGCAGTCAGAGCATCCACAGACGTCATCCCTGGGGAACCGACTGAACCACTCCCAGGGGGAAAACAAAAAATTCATGTGACATTAAGCCATAGAGAACGAGGTCAAGAAGTGCCTTTGCATCAAATTGAAGTTAATGCAATTCATGAAAGGTTGGCTGGACATGCTAAACATGATCTGAAATTGAAGTTAACTCGTATTGTGAACGGAACAAGGGTATCTATGGTAAGAAGACAAAAAGAATTTGAATTGAATTAGATTGATTATGCTTGCTCACAAAATAAATCAATCATTTTCATTATTCTTTTGAAAGATGTGCCTGGATGCAGATTGGAATATGCCACCATGGCATCCAGACCTCATTCCACTCTCAGACACCATTACAGGAAACCTGAACACAGTCTGGGGCAACAGTGGTGAGCATGAAATATAAAATAAATAACTTTTTAAACAGTAATAAATATTATAATCTGATTTGATAAATGAATGCAGGAATGTATTGCCCCAGAGGTGCCTCCTCACTCAGCCTCAAGGCAAAGGCTGAAGCGACAATGGAACAGCTTGCCTTGGCAACTAGCGCTGCAACATGGCCCTATAACCAATGCAAGAAAGACAGCCTAAACAGGGAGGAATGGGGTGAAACTTTCACTCCCTTCACACCAGCATGTCAGGAAGAGGCAAGGCAACTCGCTACGCTTCGAAAGTATACGGCCACATTGAAATATGAAAAGGTTAAATTCTTGAATGTGATTTAGACTCTACTGATTGACAAAGGAATGCAACAATAATTATCTATCTCAAAAATTGCAGCTTCCGCAAAAGTTGGTTTCTCTTTCACAAAGATTAGCTGGGGTTCTGGAACTTCTGCACCCGCTGAACAAAGAAGATGCTCGCCAAGAATTGACAGCAATTGTAGAATTCCCAGTAAAAGAACCTGTGGTTAACATTTCACTTAATTCACGTGATTTATCATGGGACTACTCATCTCTTGGATTTGCTCCCTTGCTATACAATGCCAGGTTCCCTAGACCAAACACAAACTTGGGTCTTGTCAGTGAGTGTTTGTTCATTTTTACACATAAATCAAAACAACTTAGCTTTTATCACTGGAAATTAATTTTCTCCTCCTTTGTTACAGGCTCATGCATTGTCACAACAGCTAGGGTAATTTCTTGGGACAATGCTACAGTTACCCACCCTCTTTCACCCTGCTACACCCTTGCTGCTGCAGATTGCACAAGAAACCCAAAGTTTGCGCTGTTCATGAAGAAAGTGAAGGGACCCAAGCCATTGGTGCGCATTGAAATAGTTCAGGTGTCTTCATTCTAGTGACTCCAAACTCAATTAAATATCTTTCTCATTCTGTCATTTCAGGCGGTCAAGCTGTACACCGGCGGAAATTATGTTGAGCTCATCCCTGATGAACAGGGCAAAATCAACATAAACATAAATGGCAAGCCTGTTACCAATGCAGTTCATGGTTTCTCTTTCCCTATGCAAGATACATACTATTATTTCAAGTGAGCAAAATTGTTTTAAAAATGGAAAAGAAGTACCAGTACAGTAGTTTCCTGATCTAATACTGACATAAATCCTGTTTTCCTCTGTTTTTCAGAGTGTGGGAAAAGCCTGGCGGTTTATATGAAGTCGATTCAAAGAGTTCTGTTGGGTGGCTCCAGTACTATGGTCACTCAGCTCTTTTCATGCTTGGCCCTGGTCTCTACTCAGGAAATACTTGTGGTCTCTGTGGTGATCTCAACAGTAATGCTGCAAACGACTTCAACGAACCTCTGTATGTTGAGCAGTGCAATGCAAGCTAGAAGAGAATGGACATTATAGAAATTCATTGAGATCTGTACCGTATGCCTGTTGTTCATGGTACAGATGTATGACTCTGATCTGTAAAGGATCATTTGTCTGAAGTATTGAGAAAAGCTTAGGGTGTGCTACACCATGATAGTGACTCCAACATGTGTGTATTGTACTGACTAACTCAATGCTTATTTCTGAAAGTAATTGGACCATCACAAACCAGTGGCAGTGATTTTGTGTTATCAATGACCCAAAGAAAGAGTTATAACATTTAATAGGTTGCTGTAAAATTACAGCATACATAACATTCTATAACAGTTCTTCAGGAGATTAATTCAGTTTCACCTGTCAATGACAGGGACCATATATGTACAAATAAAAATAAGATCACAATAGCAGCTGTGCCTCCAAAAGCTCAACTCAACAAATAGAATAACTGTCTAATAAACCAATATTGGACACATCAGCAAGGAAACGTGATGTATCACTTGCACACTTCATGAATGGACTTACTGAAGCAGCTATTAACATTTAAGAAAGAACTTGTAGATACTATGCACTTAAAAGTTCATTCCACACATTATTTCAGTGGAATCATATTTGTAATTTGTATTTAATTTTTAAATAAACAAAGTAAATGTTACTTTGTAAATTTACCTACTAGTCCCCCACTATCAGTTAAAAAAATAGAACTACTATTTTGAACTACTCATCATTCCAAATAATGCCCAGTGATTATATAGCAATTTCACCTAAGTATTGTTCAAGGGAAACTGAGTAAAATATTCAGGTAGTAATCTAGGAAATTCAAATTGTTGAAATTAGGTGGCCAATAAATGGTAACTTTCTGAAGATTTTACCTATGCCTCTAAAGTACGTTATTTGATATGGAGTTTCTTCATAAAATCGTTTCCATTTTCCAAAAACTAAAATCTTAGTAGCACCTTTCAGAAAAAAAAAAGCCAATGCGTTCATAAATTATAACAATTATCATGAATGGCGTTTCTATGATATAATAAAAATATTACTACATCTTCTTGGTAATGAAATACATATATTCTTCAGAATTATGTTAACTGGTTACTTCCAGATTCGCATGTAGGGAAAGCCATTGCTGCCGCTTAAGATTAACATAGTCAACAAAGTCTTCACCTTGGTTTGTTGACTTCTCATCGGAACGTTTTTCAAGCAGTGATGCATCTTTAAGTTGTTGATGATTACGTTGATAGTAAAAGACAGCAGCCAATAGATGCCAAACAGTGAAGTCTGGCCAGAGAACATCTGTGAAGTATACACAGCTACAAGATACCTGCAATAAAATTAAACGAAGTAAAATTTTGTTCGTTTCAATAATAAACTGCCGGGGTTTCATATCAACAACAACTGCCAATTCATACCTGCCAAAGCAAGAAGTCACTGAGTCGAACCTCCCCTGATGTTCTAATCAAGAGGTCTGGAGTCGGAGAATGATTAGTGTACAATGTTTTGGACAGCAAATTTTGGTTAACATTTGGTGGTGATAACACACCATCAACGACACCTTCAACTGTTTGTTTTACACATTGTGTAATTTCTTCTCTGGCTGAAATTAACATAAGAATAAAAATGTCAAAGTTGTTCACCCAGAACAGCATTTCATTGAAATTAAAATTTTTATCAGTCTTTCTAGCTTACCAGTGTATGCATAGGCAATATTTAACACAGCTCTGCTGTTATTTTTTGTCACAAACATTGCTTTTGCCATCATCTTTTGTAAATCTACAGGTAATAAATCAAGATTTCCAATAACCCGAATATGAACACCATGCTCCATGAGCTTGTCTCTGCAATAAAGAAGAACCCGGTAACCCACAGGTATACAGATAATAAAAAATGCAGCGCTATTATAGTCAAAATTTATAATCAAAACTTACGTTTCATCAAGAAGTCGCTGAAATTTCTGACGTGCCAAGTCCATAAGTGCGTCTATTTCCTCCTTCGTTCGTTTGAAGTTCTCAATACTAAAGGCATACACTGTAACTTCTTTAATACCTAACTCTAAACACCAATGCAAAGTTTCTGCTAGCCTGTCAAACCTGTTGGAAAATATCAAATTTAAAGAAATGAGAATAAAATAAAATAAAAGTATGCGATCCTTGTTTAAGCAGAGAAGCTTCTGATGTGCCTTTGACGGCCACTCAGGTGCAGTGAGCATCTACAAAATCTGCATACCCTTTAGAATGTCCTTCTATTTTCTGTACTTTATGCTTCTTGGCATATCGGCGATTTCCATCCATGATAAACGCTACATGTTGAGGAACTTGCCCACTGCCTACAACATGAACTGCCATTTTTTGGATCCATGTCAAGGTATTATCCCTAATCCATGACATTATGGTTTTGACGTTTGAACTTCAAGGGCCTGGAAAATAGGAAACTTGATAAAATTATTTTTCTGCAGTGACAGCATGATGAGCGCTTAGCAGTACTAAAATATACATTACAGTGTTAAGCAATACATCCAAGACAAAATTAAAGGCAACTGGCGCGAAAGCAAATAAGGTCTTTTTCTAATGACAGGGACATGAATCCACGTCAGCGGACGACACATGAGTGGAACAGGGACGTAAACAAGAGGAAAACCTAACCTTAATCATTCATTTTTTCAAAGGGAAGTGAAAGGATCCGAGACAAGGCAAGTAAAAGAAGAATTCAACGAGTTTAAAAAGACAGCAACGACACAGCGTAGAATTCTGTGGGTGAGAGAAAATTAGTTGTAAACACGTACCTAATGATGTTTGGACGTACCGAAGGAAGTAATCACAAGGATAAAATAGTCCTTCAGCTTCAGCCCAGCAGACGCTCAGCTGACGAAACTGGAGGTCACTGCATTAAACTAGAATATGCCCTAATTGTGTATGAAAAGGGCATTAACAGCATTTTTCATCTAGGTACGAACCCGATGAAATATCCGTATCTCAAAGTAGGAATTGGAAACCTAAAGATAAATCTTATTTGAAAGCTAAAGTACATTTAAACGAGCCGGCGGGATACGCTGGATACAGGTGCACCTATGGTTGTCATTGTCACAAGAAAGTACGATTTGATAATCATTCAAAACTATCTCAGATGAATGAAAATAAATAAATTCAATTTAGCAATTCCAGGGGATGTAATTTTTGCTTGCTGCAATACCCTTTCGGACCGGCTTGTCTAGAAGAACTATTTCCAAGGCGCGGATGTGTATGGCTTGGTCAGTGCGCGAACGAATGTTGTGAGCGAGGCGACAAGAAATGAGCACTTCACTGGAAATGGTAACATGATCGATCAAAAATACAGTCTTGTTTCTGTAACTACCCAGATGTATGACTGCACTTTGTAGTGATAATTATCCCCACAATGGACCCAAGTTCTAGTGGGTCTCAGGGTATGGACCAGAGAGGTATGTCAGGCTACAATAATGCTCCTTGCACGGACGAAGCATAAAGAGGTTGGGATGATATTGTAATGACCGTTAACTTTTTGCAGAATTATATTTTCTCATCACAAAGTTCTTAGCTGCCGGCCCATGTCGTGAAGCTGCCGAAGTACGTTGCATTGCGTTGAAATAATCTTGTATTTTTGCGTTGGCGAAGGGTTGCTTAACGAACGTGATGTGTGTTTCAGGTTTTGAGGCGCGAGATAGGACTACATGGGGTGAGTAGCTCAAGCTTGTTTACATTTGTTTGTAGTTTCTAGTGTGCTACCGTATGATGAAAAGGAGCACGTGGGTTTAGTCTGTCAAAGTGTTCGCCGGGGGGGTCAATACTCTCTTGTTGTATGACCAATATCGTTGTTCTGCTACAGCTGTTACCCAAAAGACTTGACTGGGAGGGAGAGGAACATGATCAAGACTTTGATGAACTGGTGAGTGTTTTTTGCAAATTCCATACATTTTTAGTATCGAAATTATGGATTGCTATTTAAATTTGTTCAAATATTTGTAATTTTGTAAAAAATTAAAACAAAGTCGGTGAAAATTGATCGCGAATCGCCGATGACGTCTCTAGTCAAATCGGCATTAATTCTACCTTTTGATGGTTCAAAATAGTAATTAGCGCCCAAAACGGCCAATTAATTTAAGAGACCTCATTTGTCCTTTATCCGCGCCCCCTCCCCTCTCTTCGTGCGTCGTTCATGACGTTATCGTCTTCATGGCACGGCGGACCAATGGGATTCAAGCTTACATGGCGGACGGAGCAGAAAGCTTGTTTCCTTCATTGTGATTGGTGCAATTCACCTCCGTGATTCTTTTGACGAGATTGCACCTTATTTTATGCAAATTTATCCTGTCTTTGAATTATATTCTTTGATCACCTTTCTGATTAATCTGTAATCCTCAATTATTTTACCCCTTTGAAACGAATCTTTGAGGTTATGTTGATGAAGTCCGAGTGCACAAAGTACACTAAAATTTCTTTTATTGAGCCTCTATTACCCACTTACATATATTTATTCCATGTTTTATTCATTCATTTTTTGTCATTAAATTTTAAAAAATTCAAAATATTATTCTAGCAGAGTTATTAATTTTTGGAATGGTCATTCTGCTGCTTTGCGTTGGATACTCCTCAATTCTTAAGTTTTGAGCTTAATATGTCAAATTGCTCGGCAGGAAACCAAGTATCCTCATATTGGGCCGCAACACCTTGAAAAAATATGTGCCCGGGTACCACCATTATTGGATAAAGAGTTCCCTCCCGTTGTCAAAAATGTGTCATCTCTTCTTGGTGCGGGCCGGCAATCTTTGCTCCGCACAGCATGGCATGTTACACGGCAATGGTACTCCGTCCGAGAATATACTGTACGCCTCCATCAGGAGCCACTTATGGATCCACCCAAATTTACACGGCAGCACAACATAGGTGAGCAGCATACTTCTTTGTTCACTGTTATGTTTTGCTTTCCCCACTGTGTATTAATGCATTGCTCTTTCTATTGTTTTAAAGTTAAAGCATTGTTTGGGCGAGAGACATCAGGTCCACTCAATCGTAAACAATGTGCTGGACCGAAATTATATGATAAACTCCAACTTTACCGCAGAACATTGGGCCATCTTTCTGCTGTGTACTGCGTCCTCTTTGAAAGGACTGGAAGATATATAATTACTGTAAATAATCTAGTTTCAGAATTTTTCTGTAGTGTATTGTGCTATATTTTTCTGAAGCAAGCTGTAATGCTGTTATCAATTGTTCACAGGGTGCTGACGATTATTTAGTAAAAATTTGGAGTGCAACTGATGGTCGTCTGTTATCAACATTGAGGGGCGCTTCATCTGAGATCACTGATATTGCTGTGAACAATGAAAATACCCTTCTAGCAGCTGGAAGTTGTGATAAAATACTGAGAGTATGGTGCATGCAGTACTGCAGTCCAGTAGCTGTTCTCACAGGGCACTCTGGTATGATCACTTCTGTCAACTTTTGCCCTGTGGTAGTGAATGAGATACGATATCTTGTCACTACAAGCACTGATGGGTCTGTGGCATTTTGGTCTTATGTTCACCAGCCAAATGCTCAGCAAGGGAAGCATGTCAAATTCACGTATGTCCTTTTTGTTGTAAAAACCTTTTCCTTCAATAATAATGAGGTTGCAATGGTCTCATGTTTTACGTAACATCTCTGCAGGTCGCGGCCAATTCAGTACCATGAAAGGATGCGCCCTGGACAAGCCCAAATGATATGTGCGTCTTTTAGTCCCGGTGGTATGTTTCTGGCTGCTGGCTCTGGAGACCATCATGTGAGAGTATACATGATGGAGGGAGATGAAGGGCCGCACAGAATTCTTGAGACAGAAGCCCACACAGACAGAGTTGACTCCATTTGTTGGGCTCACAATGAGTTGCGTTTCATATCAGGGTCTAAAGATGGAACAGCTAACATATGGTATTATGAACGACAGCAGTGGAAGTACTCAAAATTACAAATGGCACAGAGGCTCCCTGGGTAAGTGTAGTTTTGATCAAATGTCTCTTATTTATCGTTAGGTTAGCTGAACATTATCTTTTATTTCAGGGAAAAAGAACCTGAAGAGGATAGCAAAATTAAGTTAAAAGTTATGATGGTGTGCTGGGATTTGACTGATCGCTTTGTCATCACAGCAGTGGGTGATCACACACTCAAAGTTTGGAACTCGGACACTGGCGCTCTTGTACATGTGCTTCTGGGCCATCAAGATGAGGTCTTTGTGTTAGAATCCCACCCTTGTGATCCTAATGTCCTCTTGAGTGCTGCCCATGATGGCAATATGTTTATTTGGAATATTTCCACTGGAACACCAATCAAGAAGTTCCAGAACCTTATAGATGGGCAGGGCCATGGGTCAATATTTGATGCAAAATGGTCTCCAGATGGCACAATGATTGCTGCCACAGATTCCCATGGACATTTAATAACTTATGGACTTGGCACTGGTGGTGATAAGTTGCAAAATGTGAGTTCTCTTATTCAATTAATGGTCTTCCAGTGTGCTCATTATTGATCAGAATGTCATGATGGATGTATTGGTTTCCCTTGTGCTTGCAGCTTCCCAAAGAACTTTTCTTCCACACCGACTACCGACCTCTCATCCGGGATGCTAATCATTATGTGTTAGATGAACAAACACAAATGGCCCCTCATCTGATGCCACCACCTTTCTTGGTGGACATAGATGGTAACCCTTACCCTCCATACCAACAAAGACTGGTTCCAGGAAGAGAAAATTGTTCTACAGATCAATTAGTGCCCAACATTACTGTTGGTGCTGGAGGTATCTATTGATTTTTCTGAAACTATCCATAGTATACCAGTTTATCAATTCTAATCAAAATTATTTTGTTCTTTCCAAATCTTTTCTTCAGGTCACCAAGAAGTTATGGGTAATGCTGATCCTGTCAATCCTCGGTCACACATTGATGAAATGATTGCTGCGTTGGCGCAACGTCAGAATTCAGTTGATGAAGCTGGGCCAAGCAATCAGCAGAGGGCTGGGCCCAGTGCTGGCCCAAGTCGCACTCCAGCTAGAAGTGTCACTCCAGGTGGAAGCAACACTCCTGCTGGCACAGGTGCAAGCAGTGCTGGGGGGAGTGTCAGAAACAATACATCACCCAGAGGAGGTATAATACCGGTAGTTGTTTTTACATTTTTCAGAATTTTCTGATGTATATTTTTCACCTGTCACTTTGTTCCTTGCATTTATTTTAGGTGGACATCATCTGGTGGGTATGCGCAGAACAGGTGATGTCGAAGGTGTCCGGCAATCCAGTGGTAATTGGCAACGGGATAGCAATCTTAGGTGGACAAAACGGGTTCTTATTCCTCCACTTTCTAAGTGTGCTCTGCGAGCAAGACGTCATCACTTGTAAGTTCCAAGAGGTTTTAAAATCTATAAACTGCCTGATAAATTGTCTTTAATGTCTCCTTTTGTTTGATTTACAGCACTCAATATTCAAACCTTGAATTAGAGCAATACAAGAAAGAACAGAGAAGGCGACCAGTTATGATAACTGTGACAGCTCCAACTAGAGGTGCAAACAAGAAAATGATTCGAACTGGAACTCTTAGAAATGGAGCCGTTAGAGGGATATCAAGCTTAAGAAGGTCTCAGAGGTCAAATTTGGGACAGTTGGATGACAGTGATTATGAGGTATTTGCTAGTCAAACATCAGCGTGTGCAATAGAATAATTTTTGTATAGATGTTTGACCTTAATCCTTCTTTTGTAGAACCCTGACAACCTGGACTTGGGCAGCCAATCTTCTGGCAATGAGGAGGAGGCACCTGTCCCTGTAAGCAACAACCGTTCTCGCACCCGCAGAATAGATTCTTCAGAAGAAGAAGATGTGGAAAGCATTGGGTCATCATCAGCTGCCTCCACGTCAGAATATTCTGACTGGATTGCAGACCAAGGAGCAAGTTTAGAACCACCAAAACGGGCCAAAAAGAAGCCTGTGAGAGCAAGTGTAAGTGTCCCCAACGACACAGTTTGACAAAAGTTATGTGTAGCTGTACCTATTTCTCTCTTGTAACTTAATCTCAATTCTTGAAACTTGCAGGCCAGAGCAAGGCGAGGTGCTGCCTCTGTAGAAGATTCACATTCTGAGGATGAAACTGATGACAGTGATGAACCTGTCTTGGAACCAGATTCTGAAGAGGAACGTAAGAAGAGACCAAAGCCGAAGCCAAAACCCAAACCCAAAAGGAAACCTATTCCCAAAGTAAGACCAGAAAGAATTTTCTGTTTCAGTTCTACTTATGAAGGAATTTCTTAATTAAGTGCTTAATGTGACTATGTGACTTTTATTTTTATGTAGGCTCTAGCTTCTCTGCCTCCTGGTGCTGAGCTTCCAGAAGCATTTAGGCCCTCTGAATGGCTGGCACAAGTCGTACCAAAGAAATCACCTTACAGCCCTCAAATGGGTGATGAGGTGGTCTTCTTCAAAGAAGGATACCAGAAATATTTGGCAGCAGTTAGAGAGAAAAAGGTGTATGATGTAGATCTTCGTTGTGAACCCTATGAAAAATTCAATCTTCAGGTAAATTTCTACCTTGCATGTCCTTATAAATCTGTATCTTTCAGATAATATTAATCGTCTGTCTCTCTTCCCTCACAGGAGCCACAATTAGTGAAAGTTGTCGGAATTAAATATGAAATCAAACCTCCTCGCCTCTGTTGTCTGAAACTGGGTATTCTTAAGCCTGATGAGCCTATGAACAGTTTCTTCACGCTAAAGTATCATGATATGAATGATGTCATTGACTTTTTTGTGTTGAATCAAACCTATCAGCAGGCAATGCAGAGGAATTTCCAAGAAGGTATGAACTAACTTACCATGTAGTCAGCTCATCAAAGACCTAAGTAGTGTTGCTAATGAGTATATTTCTGTCCAATAGGTGACCAATTTAGAAGTATGATAAACGATGATTGGTGGACAGGAGTCATAGAATGTAAATTGGACAGAATATCACCTTTTTTGTCCATAAGAGTTCAATGGGATTCCCAAGATTCAGAATATATGAGCCCATGGGATCTAGAACCTGTGGATCCAAACAGTGAGTATTTTCAATCAGAACTTCTTTAATTGTTACATTTTGTGCATTAATATCAACATTTTTTTTTTTCAGGGGTTCCAGAGGAAGTGGGTGGTTCAGTTCCTGTGTTGCCTGAAGAAATTGAAGCTACACTTTATCAACCCAGTGAAGAAGAATGGCCACACGGTGGAAGAGAGGAGTCCACTCGGCGCATACTCCGCGGTCTTGAACAGGTTATGGGACTCTCTATTGCTGAAGATTTCCTTACACCTGTGGATGTGACCTTGTACCCATCATATGCGTTCACCATAGAGTATCCCATTGATCTCTCTCTTATCAAGGTGCTGATCAATATTTTTAATAAACTGTATTTTGCTCATATTTTTTTCTTGCTTTTAACTTTGTCTCTCGTAATTTTCAGGAACGGTTTGAGAACAACTTTTACCGACGCATCACAGCAGCACAGTTTGACGTTCGGTACTTGGCGACCAATGCTGAGAAGTTCAATGAACCACATTCCCCAATAGTGAAAGCAGCTCGAATTGTGTCAGATCTCTGCTTAAAAATTATTGCGTAAGTTTCTAACTTATAAAATTATATTGAAGCCTTTTACTATTTTTTGTTGGCTAACTATTTTGTTTCTGTGCTTATAACTTAAAAATATTGGCTCCCTTAGGTCACCCACTGACATAGATGTGTCAGAAGAGTATCATCAAAGTTTGAATGGTTATCACTCATCACCTTCGGGTTCTGAAGAAATTGATGTTGATGATGATCCTGACCAGCCTGGACCTAGTAGTAGAGTGAAAAACGTTGTGCGGCCAAGACCTAAGGGACAACGGAAGTCGGTACGCCAACAAGCTCTCAGTATTGATCCTGAAGACTGGAGACGTCAGTGTATTGATCTCTTGGAATTGATATGGCAGCAGGCTGATGCTGAACCATTTAGGTAATCATTTTCACCTCTTTACCTTTGTCGATTTGTGCAGAAAATTTTCTAATTCCTTGTTTATTTAAAATCATTAGGGAGCCTGTTGATACTGAAGATTTCCCAGATTACCTTCAAGTAGTTAAAACACCAATGGACTTATCAACTGTAAGAACAAGACTGTTAGATGGAGAACATGAGAACCCCCATGACTTTGCTCGAGATAATAGGCTCATATTCAGTAATTCTAAAAGTTTTAACACCAACAAGCACTCACAAGTAAGTCTGATTTTTACTATGAACATCCTATTGCAAAGGCATTGACTTTCACTCGTTCACTTCATAGCGATTGGCTTTTAAGTTTGGGAGTTTTATCCTTTGCTTGGTAACCACAATTCAAATACTGTACAGTAAAAATCTGAGTAGTCCCCTCTCTGATCCAAGATTCCAAGAGGAAAATTCCCGCACTACAGTTTAACATTTTAATCCCAAACCTTTCACTCTTGCTTCTCGTTCCTCATGTCTCATGCTTTCTGTTTTATGCCATCTAAGGAAATTGAGGAGGTGAGTTGAAGATCAGCCTAGTCTTTTCTTCAGTGTCCTCCTTTATTTCTTTCACTTATCTGGTCAATTGTTGTTTTGTCTCTTTTTCTTACGGACGTGAGGCTGCATCCATGTGCTGTACTGTCACATCAGTTAGAAATTGCTTATTCCAATGGTTTTGGCTACATGTATCAGTTACACTTGATTTTGGCTTTCATACAAGATGATCATCCATGCATTGCTGTTTTTTTTAAAATTGACATAGCTGCACCCGCCTTTAACTCATTTCATTATATTTTCAAATATTCTATTCTTAAGAGTCTTAACTCAGTCAGAACTCCTGTGCATACTAATTATGTTCATTCCCATCATTTCTAGATTTATGCTATGACATGTCGACTCTCGTCTTTGTTTGAGGATCATATGAAGAAAATTATCCATGATTGGAAAACTGACCAAATTCGATCCAAGACTTCTCTTTTAAAAGGCAAAAAACGAATAGCGATGCTGGTTGCAAGTGGAACTGATGAAAGTGGTAAGGTTCAGGTGCACAAATTGGATTTTAGCCCTGCAAACTTAAAAAAAAATAACCATGGAAATTTGTTTTTAGGGGGAGACAACACACGACCTACAAGTCGTGCCAGTAGTCAACCCAGTAGCAGTGCTGTTGTTCCAAGTGGTTCACAGCTAAAACAGAGAGGGGTTGTCAACGATAATAATGATGATGATGATGACGACCAGGAGAGTGAGCAACACGATGATGATGATGAGGAGGAAGAGGATATTAATGTCCCTGGACCAAGTAAACGTGTGTCTAAAGTTAATGGTAAGAAACTTTGCAAACCACATTAGATTTGTGTTGGAGCCATTTTTGAGTTTTATCCTTATATTCTGTTTTTTTTTTTTATTTGAAAGGTGTTTCAAATGGACATGCTATGAAAAGATCCGCCAGAGCATCTACTAGAAAGCAGCCTGCATTATCGAGCCATGGCTCAGAAGATGATGATGATGATGAAGATGAGGATGAGGATGAGGCCCCACCAGCTCGGCCGGCTAGAGGTGTTGCAGCTAAACGTAAACAATATGATAGTGATAATAGTTATGGCTCATCTCCCAAAGAAACTAAACGCCGCAAAACGTCTGCTGTTCAGAGGAATGCTTCAAATTCCAACTCCAGGGCTTCTTTCAATGACAGTGATGACTCTTCAGTTTCTGCTTACAAACCAAATACTCGATCAGTGAACGGTCATGCCAAAGGGAAGGGCAAAGGAAAAGGGAAAGGAAAAGCTGCTGCTAGACCGCAAAGACAGAAAAATGGGAAAAAAGCCGTGCCTCATGACGATAGTGATGATGAGGAGGATGAGGATGAAGAGGATGAAATTGTACAGAAGAAAAGACCTGCAGCAAAGAAGACTTCAAAGACTGTTGCTGAAGACTCAGAAAGTGGCAGTGACTCTTCAAGCGAGAGTAGTAGTACTGAAGCGGCCGACGATAGTGACAGCTCTAGTGATGAGAGTGTTGATCTGCATGCTCCTCCCTCAAAGACGAGTCGTGCTACTCGAAGTAAAAGCAACTCTTTTGGTGCTGACAAGACCAACAATGAGGATGAAGATGATAGTGAGGAGGAAGAGGAGGAGGAGGAAGAAGAAGAAGAGAATGATGCAAAAGCTGGTAGTCGAAATGACAGTGAAAATAGTAATGCTAATTCTGACTATGATGACGATAAAGAGAACGAGGAGGAAGAAGAAGAAGACGATGAATCTGTCACAGGCAATGGCCGCTCTAGAACTAGCCGAGCTCGCCGGAAGAATTACAATGAATCTGATAGTGATGACAGTGAAATTTCCAAAAAGCCAGCAAAGAAGCAGAAACAAGGAAACAGGCCAGTGAGAAATGCAACTCGAAATCGACAGCCTATGCAAGATTATGCAAGCAGTGATGACGAGCAAGTGGCTTCTAAGGCATCTAGTCGTCGAAGTAAAACAACCAAACCCAATTATGTTGAAGATGAATCTGATGATGAGCCTATGACCACTGTTAGTAGTAGAGGCCGTGTTCGTAAGGTAACAGAAAAAGCCCGTGCTCTTTACAATAAACATTAGAAGCGAGATGTCCAATGGTTTACTGAGCAATTGACTGATATGTAAATGAAGTCACACCATGAGTTACATTTTCATTTTCAACTCAACCAATGACTGAACCAATTGGCCACATGCTTGTGTGTAATTGTAGTTCTGAAGTTTTGTTTATCTGTTTTGGTGTGTTTGTACTATTTCTTTTGTTTTTACTATATCAATGTGTAATCTCTGACTTGTGTAGGTGACATAGGTGACATCCCACCCATTTCTGTAGGATTTCTCTATGGACAACTCTCTGATCTCAGAAGTGAGATTTTTCTCTTACTTTTCTCCGGGGCACTGCCTTTGATAATGTGATAGGCATTTACTGATATTCAGTGATGCTTTTAGGTAGGTAGTAAATACTTTTTAAGTAAGTAATTCTAGAAAAATGTGTTATAATTCAATAAGGTTTGTAGGTTTTCAATCATGGTATGAGGCTTGTAGCTGTGAACTTGGAATTCAAATTTGGTGTGAAATCATGCTCTTGCGCAAGCTTTATTTTCAAATAGATTTGTGATTGCATGTGTGTACTTAAAAATGACCAACTTCATGGTAACTGATGAAGTGTTACGTACTTCTGGGAAAGAAATGTTTGCTGTAACTCTCCCCACCACTTATTTTGCCTTGTATATTTTTCATTTCTTGTTTCCTGTTGTGAAGTCTTGTGCACACTTTTGATTGAAGAGTTTTGGTTTGGTTGTCCATTCTTTTCTTCTTTTCCTATCTTATCAACTTACTCTTTCCCAAACTCTGAAAAATTTGCATGATTTTATTTTTGTTGTTTTCACATTTTTCTCTTGACTCATTTATCGGAGAAGTTGGTGTCTCAAATGTGTGCCAAGCTTGGTGGGGAGTGTTTGGATTTGGTAAAATGTACAAGCTGATTTTCCTGTCAAGTTTTATCTAGTTCTTTAGTCAGTGAAGCAACTAAGATGTTTCAGGCCAACAATGGCCCTAGATGTGGGAATGTTATCTAGTAGTACAGTACTTTGTGAATTGTGTACAGTGGAGTGATAATGATGTTCTTTAAATTTTGCAGTGCTCATTGAAAATGAGCTATGCTCCAGCAATATGACTTAATGTTTATAAGCCGTCTATTTTTGTAATTATATGTGAATGTACATTTTGAATAAGTGCAGGCTTATGTTCTGTATAAATTTGTAATTAATTGTGTACAAAAAAAAAAGTTTGTGATGTACAGTTTGCTAGAAATACTGCTCAAATATGTTCCAGTTTCATTACTGCTCTTATGGTTAATTCATTTTTGTTTCATTGTTCCCCTTATTTTTAAAAATGTTCTTTATTTAATAATGTCAAACCAAATAGCAATTTAAAAGTCTGGTAATGCTTTTTCTGTCTTTTATTTTATATGTAATTCTGTTGGTTTCTGTTTTTCCTTTCTTTTAACCATTAAAAATGGAATCAAAACACAGCTTGCCAATTTTGTTTGTTAAATTTAAGCTCATTATGTCTATTTGTTTATTGATATCAGATGGGTACTGATGAAAAAATAAATTATACGATCACACAATAGAAAATTGTCTTTTTCTTTACTTGTGTGGCCCATCAACATCTGTGTAGAGCAAAGGTTCTTGGAGGCTTCTTGCTTGGAGGCTTCATAAAGAGCAGGAATGTCAAAGAAAGGCAGGTGGTGATGAAGCGGTTGGAATCTTTTATTGACAGTGTAGGTGGAGGTACACGAGAGATCTACTTCTGATTTGAATTGAACAGACCAAACAGGTGCATGACTAAAAGGAAGTTATTAAAAGTGAAATTCTGCAACAATCTAGCTACAGTCTGATGACATAGGCCTCTTTTGTACTTACACTCAGATCATACTAGTTTAGCTACTAGGTCCTAATACATTTACTCAAAACATAACTTACACATAATTAGCATTTAATGAAACAACCGTTCTAGGTGGCTCGTCACACTCACAAGGCCTCCCTAAAAGCCCTCAGATATATCCATTCCTCTTTGAAAAATATATCGCAGCGCGCGTCTGTGCTGCATCACCCTCCAGAGATAACTACGAGTAGAATATAAAGTTTTGATCAGAATAAACAAAATCTTAATAAATTTCATCTAAAGTCCCTCTGCAATAGACTCTGCTGGACCAGGTTCTTGCCAGGTCACTCCCGGGAGTTGGTTTCCGGGTGCCTCTGAGCCGACTCCCCCGCCGCGACGCTCACAGCTTGCAGTGTACTGCCATGGCAGTGCCCGCGCCCGAACCGCCGCAGGGCTCCGGACGCTCACGCTCACCTGCTGGGTACTTAGGCAGGGGCACTTGCAGGGGTTGCCGACTTTAGACCCACACACTTTGTTTTTACAGTACTAAATATTACCACAGAAAAAATAGAAACAAAATGGATAGTTACACGAACCGAGTTCCCATTTGCAAATACATGAGCTCGTACTATGCCGATAGGACCGCTACCCGTGCACCCTCAACGCGCCCAAGGGGACGAGATGGGGAAGAGCTCCCCGGAGTTTGATCGAGAACCCTGCCGTCTTCGCCTGTCTCTCTTGCACAGTGAGTGCGATAGAGACGGAGCGACGAGAGCCGTGTGCAGAATCAAGGCGCAGATCCAACGCATTCTTCAGTAGATTCATTGCCGAAGGCCCGAAGGGCTCGCTCTTCCCCAACGCGGTCCCGCAGTGGCGGGGTGCAAATCTTACCGTATCATCTAGACTGAATGAATGAAGAACCTATTTCAGGGTAAGGGGGTGGGGTCTGGTCTGCCCGAGCCTGGCTCCTCAGCCTATCGGCAACGTGGCACTCAGGGAAGACCGGGGGAGGGGGACGGGTTCCCGCAACAAGATAAACTGAAACTAACAGTGGGGACTAAACTTGATTCTAAATTCATCAAGTGCGTACACGTAGGACAGCCCGGCCAGAGTGCCAGGGTCCCCGAGGTCGCCGTCGCGGTGTGGCTGCGGTCGTCGCTGGCGGCGGCCATGGCCACCACGGCCGCCATGGCCACCGTGACGAGGCGTCGCCCTCGCCGCGACGCCGACCTGCGGCCACTGGAATGGTCTCGCCGCCGCTTGCATTTTTAAATAGTTTAATCAATTTTCACTAAATGGTTAGGAATGAAACAGCAGAAAACTAGGACGAAAGCCGAGAGAACAGCCGGTGCCTGGGGGCAGGCCGTGGCGGGGCGTGGCGGGCGTGGCGGCGGGGGCGGCGGGCCGCGGTGCTACAGCGTTGTCGGGAACCCTGGCGGCCCTGGCGCAGGGCCTTCATGTCGGCGGAGCGAAGCGAGGAGCAGGGGCTAGGCCTCGGCCTACGGGGCCTTGTACGGGGCGGCCGCGGGGCCCTACAGCTTCTGGGCCTGGGCGATGGCGGCCGGGGCGGCCGGGGCGGTGGCGACGGGGGCGCTGCGTCGCCTGCGTCCGGGGCCCCCTGCGTAGTTGGCTGCGGCCAGACCCATCAAGTGCTTGGCGGCGCCCGCGCCGGAGAAGCCTCGAGAAAGGCCGAAGTCCATGCCGCGCTTCCTGCAAACAGACGGACAGACACTGTGAGCACCAGGAGCACCACGAGCACGGACACGGGGAGGAGCCGGGTACTTTTAGCAAGGGGCGGACCGACATAGATTGGGGAAGGGGGGCTAAACCAATTTGTCTGGAGAGTTGAGAAGGGGCGACAGGTGGAGCATTGTTTGGGCACTCCACCGCGGCGGAGAGGCGGAGAGGGTCCTGGCTGGCGCTCGCCGTTGGCGCGGCCATCCCTGCCGGGCCGGCCTGCTCGCGGACAAGTTCAAGTTGGTGCGGCCGTGCGGCCACTCACTCCCTCCATCGCAGCCTTCCCCGAAGGCGGCGGGACGCGTGACGCGTGTGACGAGGACGGGCCAATCTACTTTCCCTGTTTCGTGCCAGCACCGCCACACTGCCAGCGGGCGTGCTGCCATTGTCCAATTGTCGCACTCACTCACTCACGCCATGTCAGCGATGTCGACGCGCTCGAACGACACCGCGCTTCACCCGCCGGGTCACGCGTCACGGCACGCGGCACGGCCCGGTGGATTGGTGCTCACTCACCGAGCGACTTGGCGCAGGAAGCGCCGCCTCTCGCGTGTGAACAACGGCGACGTCTGCCGGTGACGCACAGTGGGCCAGAAGACCGGAGGAGGCGGCCAAAACTCCAGACGCGTTTTGAGCTCCAGAGTCGCTAGCTGGGACTCGAACTGAACGTGTGACCCCACCAATGGATTCCTCGTTCGGAGAGCAATCCATTGGTGGGGTCACACGTTCGGTTTGGAGCTCAAAACACGTCGAGGCCGCCTCCACCGGTCTTCTGGCCCACTGTGTGACGCCTGCAGACTGAATCCGCCCCGCGTTTCGTCGCCCTGTCTCTCTCGCACCTACACGCGTCGCCCCATGAGAGCGACGAAAACAACAAAAACATCGGCGACATGACCGGCCTGCAGTCGAACGGGAGCGCAGGGAGCATCTTCCGGCTTCCGGTACCCATCCTCGTTCTCTTTCCAATTTACCGACAGCAGTGCGACGCAATGGCGCGACGCGCCTCATCACTTTTTCAGCGACTCCCGGCCCAGCCGTCCGTGCCCTGCCGTGTCTCGAGTTTCCGGGTTTTGGAGTTTCTTTTAGTCATCCCGGTCTCCAGTCCCTCACTCCTCTAGCCCCCCGCTGCCGCTGCTCGGTCCCTGCAACAGCACGCCCCTGCCTCCAGCCAGGCTCCAGTCATTTTTCCAGCCATTCCTCCAGCCATGCTACCAGCCAGGCTTCCAGTCTTACTACCAGCTACTTGCAGCTAGGTTATTGCGAGATGTAACGCTACTGGTCGTGCTCGTGCCTCCCTGTCCCTCTCTCTCTTTCTTTCTCTCCCTCCGCAGCAGTCCGAGGGGGCTCGTTTTAATTCACTCTGCAATTACCTTACACTTGTCCTGCCGGCCGTGCCGGGCGCGGCGGCGCCGCCAAGGCCAAGGCCGGACCGGAAGGGGGGAAAAGGCGGCCGTCGGCGGGAGTCGAACACGCGCCCCGGCTTCCCAGAACGCGAACCTCCCACCCTGCAGAGCCCTCCGACGGGGCGCGTCGGTCCTCCGTGCGGCCCTACGAGATACTGCAGCACGCCATGGACGCCATGCAGCGGCGACGCAGCGACCCCGAATTGCGTCATGAATTTTTGACTAGAAATGAAATAAAAAGGGCAGTCGGAATAATTTCCTCGCCAGCGCTGCTGCTTGATTAGGACATAACCCACCAGTGCAGGGGCGGGAGCGGTGGGGTGGGGAGGCAGAAGCGCCATCCTCATTTTTTTTGCGTCATCTAGATTAATTTCTCTCCGGCGTGGGAAGACAAAATGAAGCCATTTAGCACGCCGAGTTGACCCCTTCCCATGGGAACGTGGAGGGAAGACAGGGTTCGCGCCTTCATGGAGCACCGAGGCTGAACCCTGAACCTGGGCCCAGCGGGGCTGCGGCTCCTTGCGACGCATCCATGTGTTGGCCGGACCCGTGCGGGCCGGGGCAGGCCGAGGCGGGGCAGGCCGGGCCGGCCTTCGCGGTCCACCAGCGCGTGCTGCTCCACCCACTTGTGCGGCGGGCCGGGCACCAGGGCGGGGCGCGGCGGGGTGGCGGGGTGGCGGGTCCTGCGGCTGCTCCAATTTGGCTTATGCACAGACGGGCGCACGCAGTTAGGCCACCCCGCCCCGCCCCGCCCCACCCCGCCAGGCGGCGTGAAGGTCGCCACGCCGACGACGACGCCAACCCACTGGGGCTTCCCTTTCGGAAAAAGCGGCCGGCCGTGGCCGGTACTCGAACCCGATCCCCGGCATCGGCGCCGGGCAGGCAGGCAGAGGCAGGCAGGAAGCTGCCCGCTTGAACGGCACCCCATAATTCTCGTTGTTCGCGTGGGCGTGCTCGGCGCGCATGTCACCGCCCGGAGAGCAGAGGGGCCCAGAGGGGCTGTGCTGGCGCCCCGAGCCTCGCCCTCGACGCTCGCCGGGCTTGGCGGCCAGAGATAGCGGCTAAGCTGCCAGCGCGCCTCCAACAACGCGAGCATGCACTTGCACACATAAATGTGTCACGCCGAAATAAAAAGAATAAAAATGAGAAACCTAAAAAAAAACATCAACGCGGCGGCGGCAGCGGCGTGGCGTTCGATCCCCTTAACGATGTGGTGCACTGCAGACTGCAGTGCAGCCAAGCCCAAACCTAACAACCCCCATCCCAGCCCCGGGGCGGCACGGCGGCACGGCGGCGACCACCACCGCACCAGCAGCACCGGAGGCTCTATGTGCTTCTGCCGCTTGCTTGCTTGCGCTCTGCGGTCGTGTCGACATGCTAATCGGGGCAGGGGAGGGGGAGGGGGTGGGGGGCTGGAATGCGGTGGAGAAGAAGCAGCGAAGCAGCGGCAGCAAAAGGGGAGGGGCGAGGGCAGGGGGTTGATTTTGACAATAGAAACGTAAGCGTGAAGCGGTAATGATTGTTGACAGAGCGGGGCGCGGGCCGCGGGGCTGGAGGGATGGGTGCAGGGCGGGCCGTCTGCGAGTCTGCGAGTCCTCGCAGCAAGGCTGCGGGCAATCTCGTGCCGACGGTTCCGACACGGATGTGGTTCGAAAGGAGGGGGCGGCAGTGGGAGGGAAGGGGGCAATGCGGTCCAGGCGGGGTTGTTCGAAGTAGTAGTAAGCGTCCCCCCTTGTAACAGCCGCCATCCTCATTGTAACATAGGCCTGTTCCAGTGGGGACCAGGATGGCTGTTACAATCAGGGACCTCTTACTACTCTGATGTGGATGGAAAAATGATGAACAGGAGGTTAACACAACAAGCACTGCCACTCCCACCGCGCCACCACTCGTATCCTGCAGCGCATTGGATGAGAAATGGGCTTGGAAACCCTGGGAATCTTCGCCGGCCGATCAAAACGGACTCAGTGACAATTGCGGCGTAAATCCGCTGCGTGCGCGGCGTGGCGTCCCCTTCATCGGGATGGCGCCCCCGCAGCGTGACGCGTGACGAGGCGAGACCGGGGAGTGTGACGAGAATCGCGAGGCCCTCATTTCAGTGCGACTGAGTCCTGACTGCGGCGACGTCGCCGCCGTCGTCCATCGTCCGTCGCGGCGAGGAAAAGAGGAACAGAAAATTGCCCCTTTTCCAAGGATTTGAAACGACCGCCACCTTACCGCGCCCCACCCCGCCCCACCTCGCCCCGCTCGTGGATTCCCCGTCACTTTACACGGCAATAACGCGCAGCTCGGCCAAGTTTTCAAGTATGTCTCAATTAGGCGAGGCGTCCTCTCCGGCTCGCTGAAGCAGCTGGAGCGTCCTCCACCTCACCCCGCCCCGCCCCGCCCCGCCTCGCCTCGCCCCGCCCCACCCCGCCTCGCCGTGTGTCATAAAATCACATTAACCATAAACGCCCTTTCTTTTACGCCGAGGAGGCCCGAAGTGGGTTCGCCCACCACGCCACCGTAAAGTCTAAAGTTGTGGCGGCGCGAAACTGAGCACGTCGGGTGTTTGGAAATCGCGGTCTGCCTCTGCCTGGCCTGCCTGCCGAACAGACGCAGCCGTGCGTCCCCGCACCGTGGCGTGGCGTGGCGTTGCGCGCGCCGAGGCGGCTGTAATGAATCGCCAGGTGCGCTCCACGTGCCGCAGCGCTCGGCCATTCCCGATCCAACAGCGTATGGAGTGGCTTCGGACGAGTGGCCGAGTCGGAAGCGGCGTAGTTTTCCACGCCAGGTACCCGGGTTCGAATCCCCACTTTTCAAAGTGGTTTTTCTTTTTTTCCTCAGACGTCATAGTTCCGCCGCTTGCTCGCTCGGCGCCAAAGCGGTCCCGCACCACGACAGGGACCCGACCTCGCTCACCGCAGCACCCCTCCTGCACTAACACACTTACACTCGACCCTGGCAACGGGTCGACAGGGTCGCGACAGGGCCGGGCGGGATTATGCGGGTTATAGGGCGGGACTGGAACACAGAGGGGCAGGCCGGCAGGCCGGGCAGGTGACTGCTGATGAGCCCCGCCAGCATCCCGACCAGATTCCAGCTCGCTGCGTCTCTCTCTCTCTCTCTCTCTCTGTGCGTGAGTAAAAAGGGGGAGGGGCATGCGTGACACGCGGGCCAAACACGTGCACGTTGTCGCGCCTCGAACCCTCCGGCTGACCCGGTTATCATTCGGGCTCAACTACGCTTAACTACGCTTATTCGGCCCGTCTACGCCTGGCGCCCGGCCGCGCGGTTCGCGCCACTGCCCCAGCGCCACAGCGCCGCACCACTGGCAGCGCGGACCTCACTCTGCATCCTGTTGTGAAATCAAATTAACACGAGCCGGGCCCGGTCCAGCCGGGAGGCCCGGAGGGTTCTTACTCCGAGCAGCGCTTCGTGGCTCTGTCTCTCTCGCTCCTTTGCGGGGTGCCACTGGGGTGCGAGAGAGACGGAGCGACGAGAGCCCCGTCCGGAAGTAGCCCCCCTCGTAAAACGAACAAATTAAAACTTGTATAGTTTTTATTAGTTTTTTAGTAAATTTTGTTAAATTTTAAAAATTGAATTAAATTTGACTTAACTTAAGTATTTTTAATTAATTTTCATTTGCAAAACTAGAATTTGTTAATCTTTGTAAGCTGCATTTATTCAATTTAATTTAAGATTTAATCAAAGCAGCTTACAAAGATTATCAAATTCTAGTTTTGCAAATGAAAATTAATTAAAAATACTTAAGTTTAGTCAAATTTAATTCAATTTTTAAAATTTAACAAAATTTACTAAAAAACTAATAAAAACTATACAAGTTTTAATTTGTTCGTTTTACGAGGGCCGCTGGCGGAAGGCCGGCTGAACGGTCGTCTTTGCGGGCAGCGCGGGGCAGCGCGGGGCAGCGCGGGGCAGCGCGGGGCCAAGCAGACAGCCGGGGCGGCGGGGTCCACGGCGGGGTCGGCCCCAGCCGAACTGGCTGGCTGCTTAAAATGCGCATACGGGATTGAGCTGCTGCACTGTGTAGCCTCGTGGCCGCGCGGCCGCGTAGTCTGCGGTCCGGCCGGCCGGCCTGCCAGGACGGCGTGGAAGAGTTGATGCGGTCGAGTCAGTCGGCCCCCGGTCTGCTGCTTGTGCCGCTTGCGCCACCTGCCGAGTGATTTCGAAGCGCCCTCTTGTCGCTCTGTCTCTAACAGCACTCAAAAAAATTTCAATACAAAATTCTGTAACATGGTTACGCAGTAATTTCCACTACAAATGTTACAGAATTTTGTATCAGCACTGATATAAAATTTTTTATCACGCGTTTCGGTAAACTGTTTCCCGGTTACAGAATTCTGCAATGAAAAAATCAAAAAAAATTTGTCGTTTTATAAACAAAATTTGAACCTCAACGATCGTTCATTCCTACACATTCACTCCGTCGCTCCTGTACTCCCGAATACCCGGAGAAACCGAACTGCGTTCTCCGGAACCAAACCCCGGGTTTCCCCGGATTGCCAGCTCGGCATGCTACCGCTTGCGCCACTGCGCCGGTGGGGAGGAGGCCTCAGACTGCGATGACCCGAGCGGGCACGCTGCACGCCCAGGTAGTGGTGGGGAAACGAGCCCTGCGGCGCGACAGTTAGAGTTCCTCGCCCGAAGCTTCTAAAGTACCATGCCCCACGTTAGATTTTTTCGCCCGATCAACTGTGATTTTAAAAATTAAGCTCGAAATTTGACTTTAAATTTGCGTTTTTAATTTTTGCATCAGACGATATGTAAACTTGTAACGATATGTTACGGTTTTCTGTATCAGTTACAGTTATTTGCATAAAGATCGCATTTTTACATGGAACTATATCACTGATTGTGAATATTGAAACAAGAAGTACAGAATTTTGTGTCAGATTTAGAATTTTGAAGCACTGATTCGTAAATTCGTAACATTCTTGACGTGATACAGAATTTAGGATCAAGGATACAAATTTTTGTATCCGACTGACGTGTTACAGAATTTTGTATCAAGATCGTTACAAAATCCTATATTATTTTTTAGAGTGAGAGCCACTGCAGAGCGCCCGCGAAGCCCTGGGTAGGCAACGCGGCGACGCCGGTGTCGTGCGGGCTGGCCTACCCTGGACTCCACAGGCGCTCGGCCAGCCTGGCCAACCTGCAGACGGATTCCGAGCGTCGTTTCGTCGCTCTGTCTCCCTCGCACTCATGAGTCGCTTGGTGTGAGAGAGAGACGACCATGTTTTGGAGAGTCTGAGCGAGGCTGGTTCCCAAGGGGTGACCCACTGTAAAATTTTGTGTACAATGATTGTGTGAATGTGGAAGAATGTGCAAGATTTCTGACGTTTTTGCCACACATGTTGCCTACTTACAGGCGTTTTTGCCACCTGAATGTGGAATGTGGTCAAATTTTGTACAACGAATGTGGGAAGTTGTTCCCCCCTCGCTGGTTCCCCTGTTCCGACAGAGTGCCGGGGCCGGCCGGGGCGGACGCCGGGCCGGGGCGCCGAAAGCGATAACTTTTTTAACGGCCCCAATATGGGGATTTGGGCCCCGGCCTCGCGGCCTAATCCTGGCGGCGCGAATTCGCGGCGCGTAATGGCTTTAACAGGTGGTTCCGAAGGGAGACGGGCAATCACGCAAATGAAGCACTCCGGATGGCACTGACGTGAGAGGGAGGGAGCGAGAGAGACAGCGTGTCCTCGCGGTGTGCCACATGCAAATGTGCACATGCGTCAACCGAACTATGGAGGGCTGTAAATCAATGGCAAACGCAATTAATTTCAAGTGTCAACATCGGTCGGCGTCTCCGCTGGCTCCGCTCGTCAGACGGGGCTGTGGGGCCTACAGTGTGGGCGTGGAAGTGGGCTGCCTCCGATTTTGCGCGCTGTCTCTGTCACTCTCGTCGAGCGGCCCGACCGCCTCTGTCACTTGACACTCGGGCAGACAGACAGACAGACAGACAGACAGACAGACAGACAGACAGACAGACAGACAGACAGACAGACAGACAGACAGACAGACAGACAGACAGACAGACAGACAGAGAATGTGGCAGGCTGAGCAGGTAATTTGGTGACGGCGCGTCACACAGCCTGGTGTCACTGCCGTCATTTTGGCAGGCCGCCCTTTGCAACAGGTGTGAAAGGAGGCTAGTGAAGAGAGAGAGAGAGAGAGAGAGAGAGAGAGAGAGAGAGAGAGAGAGAGAGAGAGAGAGAGAGAGAGAGAGAGAAGAGAGACGACGAGACCGCAATGTAGTGGGTGGTCTGCCTATGCGAATGTGGACGTTTACGTGAGATAGCTCTCGCGCCTTCACGTTAAAAACGGTACCTGGTTTTCCCAGGAACCGCCTGGAAATCGCCTATACAATCACCATTGGCTTCCTGGGAAAACCAGGTTCCGTTTTTACCGTGTTGTTAGGAACTGTGGAACGCGACGTATTGGTGGTGCGTCCCTTTCACCAGCCTTGAAATTTACTTAAGTCAAAAACGGCATCGCGTAGCTGTAGACCAGGCCGTCCAAGGCCCCCGCCCACCCACCGCCATATTTTCTGCTCTTTTTTCGTTTTATTGAGAAAGCTTGAACCGCTTGAGTGAGTGCGGAAAAGCCGTTTTGAAAGTGGCACAAGGCGACAAAGGTTTGTTGCGGCGCTGCAACGCGCTGCGGCGCTATCTCGCTTCTTTCGAGTCATTTCATCCCGACGGTGCCGACGGTGCCAGCGGACCGCTTAACACCTTCGCGCCGAAGCTAAGTTTGGTGGAAAAGCCTAGATGCCGAAGGTGCTAACTTCCGAACCTTACGTCGCAACCACATGGCACATGGTTATTCGGACTTGGTATGACCACCCAAACACCATGCGCCAAAAATCTCCTATACGAGAACCATGTTCTCGTGTCGGCGTCTGAGCCTTTGCCGTACGAGAACCATGTTCTCGTACCGGCTGAAAGGCCACAATTGGTGGTAAAGGGATAATAAAATTAGAACTCACCAAAAAAAAAAAAATAGACTCAGCCTCTTTACACCGGTGCGAGAACATGGTTCTCGCACGATAAAAGCCCAAATGCCGATACGAGAACATGGTTCTCGTCGCGAGCTTTTTTCGTTCAAAACCTCTAGAAAAGATGGGGTAACTCGGATCAAATAAGCGATGCCATATTTGGCACGAGAACCATGTTCTCGTGCCGGCAGGAACGGATCGCAAACACGAGAACCATGTTCTCGTACCGGCGGGAACGCCACTTCACCAAGGTAAAATCACAAAAGTACGAGGACGTTTTTTTGTGAATTTACCTTGGTGAAATGGCTTTCCCGCCGGTACGAGAACATGGTTCTCGTGTTTGCGATCCGTTCCTGCCGGCACGAGAACCATGTTCTCGTGCCAAATTACATGCTAGAGACTTAAATTTTTAGCCGAAATGTTGGAAATTTTACGCAGATTCCGAATATGGCATCGCTTTTTCGATCCGAGTTACCCCATCTTTTCTAGAGGTTTTGAACGAAAACAGCTCGTGACGAGAACCATGTTCTCGTATCGGCGTTTGGGCTTTCAGCGTGCGAGAACCATGTTCTCGCACCGGCGCGAAGGTGTTAAACATTAAACGCCCCGCGCCGCCCCCCCGCCGCCCCGCGCGCGGTGTAACAGTGGACCACGAGTCGCTGAAGGGAAGGGGTGCGGGAGGCCTTTTTCCACTGCGGGTGTTGGAACGTCGGAACATGCCGACCCGCGAGGCCGCGACACGCTGGCGCGAAACGAGGCGAAATTTGAATTTGCAGCGGTAATGGTACAAGGCGCGTCTGGAAATAAGCGAGTCTCACTTCCCCCCAGCCATGCCCCAGCAGGCTCAACAAAGTTGTTGCTGCTCTCGTCGCTCTGTCGCTCTCGCACTCGGAGGGCCCCCGCGTAGGTGCGAGAGAGACAGAGCGACGAAGCGCACCACGCGGAGTCGGTTCGTGTTCTCCGGCGGCACGGCCCCCTTTGACGCCGTCGCTGGATCCGCCCCTTGGCAGTGTACTTACGCCTCCTGCGGCACGCCCTGCTCCGCTCGCCGCAGCTCCGCTATCCTCTTGAGCAGCTCCACGAGGTCCTCGGCGTCGATCTCCCCCGGCCTGGCGTAGTTGTACACGGGCTCGCTGCAAAAAAGAAAAAAAAAGAGAAAAGTCGAGAAGGTTATTAAAATTAGGAAAGAGGAGGAAGCTTGTTGGCTGCACCTCGCCTCTGCCCCCCTCCACCACTCCGTTCGATTACAGCATTACAACCGTGCGACAGAGACGGCGAATATTTATGCCATTGTTTTGCCGCGCGCCGCGCGCCGCGCGGCCCCCGGGTGGCATTTGTTTCCTTCAGTGGACTGACTCCGGAGAGCCGGCCTTTTCGTCGCCCTGTCTCCGTCGCACTGACGGGGTGCTCCCTACGGGTGCGAGAGAGACGGAGCTTCTCTTTGGAATCGCTCGCGCCGCGGCGTCCTGTTGCGCCTCGCGCCTCGCCGTCCCCAGCGCCAGCCAGGCAGGCAGCCAGCCAGCCAGCCAGCCAGCCAGTCACAATGCAATTCTTGGTGATAAATGAGTCCCTCTGCACTCAGGCCGACTGCGCCTCACTGCGTCTCGCTGACTGACTTAGTCTCCTCGCGTCGCGAGCAGCAGCTGCCAAGCCGGCCTAACCTCGTCTAGCGAAATCAACGCGCTGCAAGCTGCAGCTTAGCGGTCGAGCACGCCGCGTCAAAAAAAAAAAAAAAAAAAACACGCGTTGAATTAAGAGGAGCCTGAAATGTGTCGCAGGTCCACGGCAATCCTGCGCTCACGCGGCGTCGCGTCTCGCCGTCTTGTCCGAAGCTGAAAGGAGTCTCGGCCGAGGCGCTCTCGTCGCTCTGTCTCTCTCGCACCCCTGCGGCTCGCCTCGCGTGCGCTGAGCGTGCGGCGAACACGACTCTCAGTCTGCGGCCGGGCCATGGCCGGGCCGCCCCGTAAAGCGGCCATTAGGGCCCATCCTGTGGTCGCGGCAACACGCAGCGGGACGGGGTGCGTTCGAATCTCGGCAGGGCCTTTTTATTTTTCTCTCTCTCTCTCCCGCTCCCCACCGCGCGGTGCCGTGTCGACGATAAGCGGAACACTCAACTCGCACGGCGCCGGTCGGGGACGTCGGAGAGCGGACCGAGGGGAGGGGGGGAGGGGGTTGTACAAACTCCGGGCTGGGCGACGCTCGGGCCGCCAAAGCCGCCAAAGACCCAGAGCGGCTCGCTAACCGCTTCATCTCGTTCTCACACGGCAGGGGCGAGCCCCGGGCTGCCCCTCCCCCAATTCCCCACTCGCCAAATTCGCGACGAACCGCCCGGCGGCTGAACTGTGAAACTGGCCCGCCTCGCCCACTTGCGGTTCCGCGGGCAACAAATTGCGCCACGCCGCGCAAGCTCGCGTCTCTCGCAGACTGATTCCGCAGAGTCGTTTCGTCGCTCTGTCTCTGTCGCACTCACGGGGCGCCCCGTAGGGGTGCGAGGGAGACGGAGCCGCGCGGCGGGCGTGTGGCAGAGATTCACGTGTTTCCTTCCCCGAATGCAAATTAGTCTTTTGCAGTGGAGGTGAAGGGCCATCGTCCCGGCGTCTTCCACTGCCGGCGTGTCCCACAGGCCCAGAGGCCGTATAGCGGAACGGCCCGAGGATAGACAGAGAGAGAGAGAGAGAGAGAGAGAGAGAGAGAGAGAGAGAGAGAGAGAGAGAGAGAGAGAGAGAGAGAGAGAGGAGGGGGCGTCTTACGCATTCCCTTTGTCGTGTTTGCCACCCTGGTGAATTATTCCCTGCCGAGTTGAGCCATCCGAAACCTTGGTCCCTTGCAATGTCGTCGTTCGGCCGGTCGCTGTGCAGCCACTCGAAACATTCACGGACCTCGGCGTCTTCGATGATTGTGTGCACTCACTCTCGAATCAAGCTCATCACAAGAGGCATTTTGAGCACGAAGACGCACTTGCAAAGAAAAGAGCGTTTCGCAATTCACGAACTTTTCTTACAAACCGAAAAGTTTGTACCTTACAATTGCTTAGAAAGGTTATGAGCGTGTGCCAGACCAGAGTCGACACGGGTTTAAAACAAGAACGAAACAAAAAGAACTTAACAGAAACAAAATAACGAAATGAAAACTAAAGTTGTGAATTATGTTGGGGGTGGCATAGGGGGAGGCAGCGCCCCGGCGAGGCGTATCGGTGCATCTCCATTTGCCGATCGCCCAGTCCGTTTCAATCTGCCGTTGCTTGCCCCGCCCCGCCCCGGCCCGCCCCGGCCCGCCCCCCGCACCAGCCCGCCCCGCCCCGCCCCGCCCCGCTCCACCACGCCCACACAGCCCAGCAGAAGGCCGTAAAGCGGCGGCACAGAGCAACAAATGCACGCTTGACCCGTCCGTCCACCAACGCAAAGGACTGCAGACAAAAAATAAAGTGTGGGAGGCGACGCCACAAAGCACGGAAAGGACAATGTCTTTTTAGAACAAAAAAAAACAATCTCCTGGTCTGTTTGGAACTTTCATGAGACCTGCAAGAACAGCTCGTTTCAATCGGGTAACTACAACAACAACAACAGTAGAAAACAGCACAAAAAGGATGATGGAAAACTGGAAAAAGAAATCACTGAGAATGAAAGAGAGCGAGGGAGACGGAGCAATCCATCATTGTCTTGCCTTCACAATGGGAAGCCTTAGGGCGCCATTTTTTGTTTCGACAGGCCGCCTCACAGTGCAGTGCCACTGCCCTCCACATGGAAGAATGAGACGCCATAATCTTTAAATCCACTTAGCCTTATGAATAAACCGGGGGGCCGGAGGCGGGATCTCCGTTCGTGCATCCTTCTGGTCCTGCCAGACCCTCGGTTCTACGGGGCCGGCGACCAGGACACAGCACGGGACACCCGGGAGGTGAGCCCTGAGGTCGCAGGAAAGGGGTGGGGGGGGGGGGGGGGGGGCTGCGTCATCCCTGCTCTCCACTCCATTCTATCCCAGCTACTACCCTCGGATTAGTTCTGATTGAATTTGTGGCCGTAATCACACAAGCAAGAACGCGTTGCTAGCGTCGCTGGAACCTGGCGAGGCGGAACACCGTGTGGGCCGAGGCACGCCCAGACCATCATCGCGCTCACACACTGTGCGGCCTGAGCCGCGCTTATGCCGCGTGGATCGCCGGGGATCATAGGCGGCCGGGGTTTTCACGACGCAGTGAGCCCCAGATTGCATTTCCAGCCGAGTCGCCACTCCAGGGTCACCACTTCAGGGTCGTTGCGAAGATGAGTCCGGGCAAGTCCTGTTGGCAACCGTTCGACACGTGGCTTCTGTCGTTACATACTCATGCTGCAACACTGAGACGCTGGAGTGAGGCTGGAGTGACGCTGAAGTGACGCTCGAGTGACGCTGGAGTGACTCTGAAGTGACGCGTGAGTGACGCTGGATTGTCGCTGGATTGACGCTGGAATGATCACCCGCTGGAGCCTGGCCTTCTCAGTCATCACTTGCTTGCTGTTGCCGCAGCGTCGCTGCAGTGAGTGACGCCTCTGGAGTCTGTTGCTGGAGCAAGCGCTGGAGCGTGCCACTCCCCGGCCAGGCTGCTGGAGAAAGTGCGCGCTGCCCGCGGCCGTTGCCCGTCCATTGTGAACATTCTCTCTTTCTTCCCGCCGCCATTATACGCGGGGCTGGGCGGCAGAATAAAATTAAATTGCGTCGCGAGCGATAGCGGGCACGGCCGGGCATAGCGCAGCATGGCGAGGGGGCTCACGCAATGAGCAGTGTGGTGGCGTCGGGGCAGCGCGCCCCAGCGCCCCCGCCTTCATATGGCGCCTCTATTTCCATTTCGCAGCCGCGCGGATCGTAACGGGTGCAGCGGGGCGCCACGCCGCGCCACGCCACGCCCAGCAGGCCGCGGCTGGAGTCTGGAGCCTCCAGGCGGCACGTCGGCGCGAGGCATCACACGTAATGACGGGTATTGGCTGGAACAAGGCGGCCACTGCGGGGCTGGAGCGGCTGGAGTCTGGAGGCTGCGGGGGGCCGGAAGGGGAGAGAAAGGCAAAAGGGGGTGGCTGAGGCCAAAACCTTGTTTTGTTTTGTTAATAATGAGAACAACAACAACAACAAAACAGATAAAAATATTTTTGTTTTTGTTTTGAGATAACACACGGTGAAAACGGTTTCTGGTTTTCTAGTATAGAAAACACGTATGCGATTTCCAGGCAGTCCCTGGGAAAAGCGAGAACCGTTTTCACCGTACACGTTACAGTATTTCGACGTACAGGTAACTGCGTCGCGTAAAAAGACCTCCTTGCCGCAGCGCGCAACAAGGCACAACACGTGTGTCTGCAGTAAAGGTGGGAAGTCGGCCTCAAAGTTTGTGGCGTTTTCGGCTCCAGAGAGTGTGTCGTTCGCGGCGTTTCAAGCGGCGTTTCAAGCGGCGTTTGTCAAGCCAAGCTCTTTGGCACTGGCTCTTTGAGAGAGAGAGAGAGAGAGAGAGAGAGAGAGAGAGAGAGAGAGAGAGAGAGAGAGAGAGAGAGAGAGAGAGAGAGAGAGAGAGCAACAACGTCATGGTGCTGACCGCCCGGAAGGCTCTGGCTCGGGGTGGTTCGGCCGGAAGCGGTCCGGCAGGTAAACCGAATGACTGCGCCCCGGGACCACTGGTGGGGCGGGACGGGGCACTGGCAGCCTGGCAGCGGGCCAAACAGCCAAAACAAACTTCCCGCCTGCGTCCGCCTGCGTCCGCCTGCGTCATCTGGGTCCACCTGTGGCTCCGGGACTGTGCGCCCTGGCGGCCCTGGCGCCGCACCCCCTCCAGCTCATCAAGACAACGTTTTAATCCGGCTGGCCGGCCCGGCCCGGCCACAGGCTCCACTTAAGCCCGTCGTCTGCGGGCAGTGGCGCCACAAATCCGGTTTCTCGATTGTTGCGGCGCCGTTTGCAAGACGAGGTGAACACGCTCTCGGGGCTTCACCCTGCCAGTGTTGTGATGGCTCACTCACTGCCGAACGGAATCGGTCACAACCAATGCGACCTCCAGGACGGCGATGTCCCGTGCATAAATTTGAACCAGAGCCTTCCATCAGCCCAGATCTGGGACTCGGAGCGACTGCGGGGTCTGGAATCAATCCCCAGGGGCACTATCGGAAGGGTCGCGAAGGGACGGTGTCGGCCCCTCAGACAGACAGACAGACAGACAGACCGGCGGTAATGACGTCACTCAGGACGTCGTCGTGCGCTCCACGCGTGATGGGCGACAGGCCTTTTGCAGTGCATTTTCCTGCAACACTTTGGCGGCGCGGCGGGGGGCGCTGGAAGCGGCGGGAGAGGGAGAGGGAGAGGGAGAGGGGGAGAGAGAGAGAGAGGGAGGGAGGAAGTCGGAAGAGAGCCTTGCGGTGCGCTCGCCCCTCGGCGCGCCTCGGCGGCCCCACTTTCCAACAGACTAAGTGTGTTGTAGTATAAATTAGGCATGCCGTCGAGACTTGCGCCGTGCGACGACGGTCCGGTGCGCTCGGCGGGCTGGGGCAGGATGACGTCAGAGGGCGCCAAGCAGGCTGCCGAAGAAACTGCATTAATCCCCGGTTTACTTTCTTCACCGTTATTTGGGTTAATTAGGGGTTTCGGCCAAGCTACCGAGCGTGGCGTGGTTGTTGTGATGCTGCCCGGGTCGTCTCGGCTCCCCGCCGGTGGTCCGGGTCCTCGGTCCCTGGGGGTCCCTGGGCAGCCAAAGCTGCTTGCCTAATAATAGGCGGATTGATTATTTAAACCATCGCTGGCTTTCCCTCCAATTTAGAGCGGCGTCTCCTACACTACCGTCGACGGGCGGGGCGTGGTGGCTCTGCCTGCGCCCTGAGGCGACCGTGGTGACAGCAAGGCGACATCGTCATCTCTCTCGCTCCCCTGGGGTCCTGACGGGTGGGTGGGTGAGAGAGAGAGAGAGAGAGAGAGAGAGAGAGAGAGAGAGAGAGAGAGAGAGAGAGAGAGAGAGAGAGAGAGAGAGAGAGAGAGAGAGAGAGAGAGAGAGAGAGAGAGCGACGGAACGACACTGTGTGGGATCGCTTCACTGCCGCGGAAGGGCCGCTCTCAATTTGTCTCCGACTCCGGGATGACCTTGAACTTGACCTTGAACCGGGCCTTATTGGCGCAATCACTTCGTGAGCCTGGCCAGCCTGGCGCGCGGCCCTTGTGGAGCAAGATGCTGATTCCAACTCGGACTCACGGTGTAGGGGCGAAGGGTGCGAGAGAGACAGACTTGGGTGGCCTTCTGGCGGACTGCCGTGGGCGGACTGCTTACTTGCTCACGTACGGCTCATACGCCACCACGCTCGAATGGACGCCAATAAAAAGCAGCAGTAACGCAGAAGCAGTTGAAACTGCTGACCGGCTAGGAGGAAAAAACAATTACACGGGACAAGTTGGCGGAACAATTCGACGGGCAGCGAGGCGGGCGGACAGCGAGGACGGCCGCCCCCGCGGGCACGAGCGCCGTGCGTGTTGTTGTTTGTTTCCGTTTTGTTTTAATTGACAGTGTACTCACCCGCCCATGGGCGCCGCTCGCACCGCGGTCACGAAGGCGGCTGCCGCCAACACGGCGGCCAGCAGCACAGTGTAGGTCTGCATGTCGCTGTCCTGCAACAGAACCGCGGAAGTTGCTTTACAAACAAGCCGGAATGGAAGCAAAAACAACACAAAACAAAAAAAAAGAGCCAACTTAAGCGGCATGTACTCTGTGTCTGCTCTGCATCATCCCTGCTTTCCGCCAAAATAGTGACAATATAATCCCCTCGTGGTCGGAGTCGAGTTGATGATGCTGTTTTTTTTTATTATTTTTTCCAGCTAATCCGCAATAAAACGAATGCGGGTCCCGCGTCGGCAACGAGAGCAGAATGATCGGGTTTATCTCCCCTGAGCGCCGAGAGCGAGAAAGAGCGAGCATAAAAAGAGAGAGGCGCGCAGAAGCAACACCGTGCAGGTATGAAAAATTAACGAGTTCCAAAAGCAGTCACTGCCGCAGTTCGCTGGGTTTAACGGCAACTTGCTGACACCGGCCCGAGTGACCAAGCAGCAGAATGAATCCGAGGCGTCGCTGTATCTGTCTCTCTCGCACGCTTGGGGCGGACCGTGGGAGAGAGAGAGAGATACAGTGTAGCGCCGACGCGGCTTTTCGTCCCGACCGAGTCCCGACTGCCCGAGCAAGTCGAAACGAGAGTCGAAGGGCAGTTTGAAAGCAGCGGCGATTTCTCCCCTCCAGCAGCCTTGCCCTTTGGTCTGGGCCTCGCAGGTCACCCCCCCCCCCAATTCAGGAGGTGTGACCCTTAATTATTTGGCTGCCTGCTTGGCCGTGAGGGCCTGCCGGCGAACTTGTACCCATCGTGGAGGCGGACCAATCCTGGCCCGGGAGGAACTACGGCGCGAAAAACAACGCCAGCACACTTTAATTATTTTTTTTTAGTTTAGAGACGGAATTAACGGTGGGCGCCGCCCCGGCGACAGCAGCAACGGCTTCATGTCGACCTTTCGGCGAAAACTCACATCAAGCGACCGGAACGCGAAAAAAAGAAAAAGATTCCGTTTCCTGCTTGCGAGATGATTGCGGAAATTGCGCAGAGGCGGTCCCCTGATGCGCGTGCACCGTTTCGGTATCTGGAACGACCTAACTAAACGACCTCCAGGACGCCTCCAGGAACGTGCCGCCGAGTCGAGCGTCACGGCAGTCACGGCGACTGCGAGGAGCACACGGCCAGACAGTGCTGCCACCCAGGCAAACAGTGTCCGCGACGCACCTGTCGAGAGGGTTGCCAACATCAGCCCGCCTACTGGGTAACTTCTTGAGGGTGATGTCGGCAACCCTATTCCGACACCGGCACACCGTGGGGCATTTTTTCCCGCTTGACTGCGCGAAGCAGCGATTCCCCCGCGAGGCCGCGAAGGGAAAAGGGAGAGGGCAACGAGAAGCGAAACTTCCCCGGATCCCGCGCAGGGTGCGACACAAACGCGAGTTTACGAAATGGTTTTCTTTCGGAACCGCGACACCGCGAGGCGCGTGGCGAGGCGCGGCGCGCGACTCCGGGGCACGCCGGCACGCCCGGGCAGGCCAAGAAGTGGGGTATGGAGCCGCGGGACTGCGGGACTGCGGGACGACAACGAGCAGCAATTACTGCGCAAAGTTGTCCGGGACGCGGCGAGCGGGCCGGCCGGGCAGACTGATTCCGAGAGTCGTTCTCGTCGCTCTGTCTCCCTCGCACCTATACGGTGCGCCCCGTGAGTGCGAGAGAGACAGAGATAACAGGACTCTCGGAATGTCTGCTAGCCAGTCGACCGGCGAGGGGATTCCCGGAATAACGTGCCAGATCGCGATGAGGAGTTGCTGCGAACCCAGTCCCCAAAGAACGCGAATCCCAAGTTTCGTTTTCAGGCGAGTGTCTGCAGGCCGATCTGCCACTGTCTCTCTCGCACCGCGACGGGACGCCTCGTGAGTGCGAGAGAGAGGCAAGAGGCAAGCACGTTCGCATTCAGCCTGCTGTGTGTGCGTTTCACGATCAACATGCGGCCGGGCTGAGCCTGCCTCTGCCTGAGGCCCGAGGGACTGTGAGCCTCGCTGAAGGTGCGGCGCCCGGATTGGCTGAATTGGGATTAGACGCGCGAATCGCCAAATGTGTTCAGTAACTCGATTTGGCGTCCGCTGGCGAAGCTTCGCTCGGGCGCGGGGTCGTGAGGGGCGGCGTGGGGCCTACGAGGCTATGACAGGCCGCTGGACGCGGGGACCTTGTCCCTCATTAGCAGCCCGCTCGCCACGGTGCGTGCGTCGCTCTGTCTCTCTCGCACCCCTTCGGAACGCCCCGTGAGTGCGAGAGAGACGGTTCGGGATCGGTCTGCAGGGTCTCGTAGGCCCCCGGGAGGTGTGCCTGCCGTGCGCAGCTGAGGCCTAAAGCCTAAGCGACCCGCGGTGGGCAAACGCACCAGGGGGCGGCCGGTGGAAAGGGCCCGCGTCAACAGGGCTACCTACGCCACTGTGGGGGGCGTCGAAACGGTCTGGGGGTCCTTTCTCGCGGCGCAGGCCAGACACCTCCGGAGTAGTGGCGTTCCTCTGGTGATGGAAAATGTGTCAAGAGAAGGAGGAAGGGGGAGCAGCGTGGATCGTCACTTGGACCGCGCGGCGCTGCTGCGCGAGTAAGCCATTCTTTTGCGCTCCAAATCCCCCGCGGCACCCGCCCCGCCCCGCCCCGCCTTCCCAGCGGAGGGACAATAAAATCCGCCAGTTTAGCAATAATGAGGTGGATTTCCATGCCGCGGCCGTCGGCTGCCGTCGGCGCCTCGGCATGGCGGCGAGGCTGTCTGCACGTTCGCCGCCGCGGAATCACTGGCGTCGGCCGCGTCCGCCGCGTCGGCAGGGGAGTGGGGCTCGGGGGGCCCCGTTGGGGCAGAGCCTAACGTTGTGGGCGGGGGGCCCCGTGGGGGGCCAGCCAGGCGAGCTACACGCACAGCCCCGCTGACTCAATCTTGATTCCATTTCCAGCTTTTCCTTCGTCGTCATCCTGGCCGTCATCTTGGTCATCACCATCCCCGGCGTGGCCCCGTTTGCGATGTTGCCGTAATCTCGATACACAACGCTTTAGCGGACATGAATCCGCGGCCACACCAAAATGGTGGTCTTCTTCATAACATGAAAGAAATTCGACAAAATATCTGTTCGTTACAAAGTCTGCTGCACCATCATAACAAGAAGGATCTTTACCATCATACCTTCACCAGAATACTTTTAGAGGGTCGGAGGCGTGGGTTCGAATCCCCGCTCCCGCTCACGTTCTTCCTTCCGCTGTGCTGCCTCACACATTTCTCACTCGCGACGCCGCCTACGACATCAAGGGCATCAAGGCTGACCGCAGTGCGTCGGCAGTGCGGCTTCCCCCGCCTCGCCGTTCGAGTGCAGGCGCGCGCAGTCGTCACGCAGTCGTCACGCAGTCGTCACGCAGTCGTCACGCAGTCGTCACGCAGTCGTCACGCAGTCGTCACGCAGTCGTCACGCAGTCGTCACGCAGTCGTCACGCAGTCGTCACGCAGGAGGCACGTCGCTGGACGGCGTCACAGAGAAAGACGGACTCTGAATGCCACCCCAACGGGAAAACTCCGCGCGCGAAGCGTTGTATCGCTCCGCCAACCTTTCTCCAGCGTTGCCGGCCATCCTGCTGGAAGTTTGATGGACCCAGCGCGACAATGGCTGAGCGATGGCAGAGCCCAGCCCAGGGCCGCGGCACACTGAGAGTCGCTTTCGTCGCTCTGTCTCTCTCGCGTCCGTACGGAAGGCCCTGTGAGTGCGAGAGAGACCGAGCGGCGGGAAGGATTCTCGGAAGCAGTCCGCAGGGCACACCGGTCGCTACACTGGGCAGGCGATGGCCGCCATCAGGGCGTACCGTGATGCTTTCGTCTTTCGACAGCCGATTTCTCAACGCGATCGAAAAAACCAACAACGCGGCAGCACAAGGCCTCGCCCTTGCCCCAGCGCGAACCTGCACCAGCAGCAACTGATTCAGGGTCGCTGTGTCTCTCTCGCACCCACACGGGACGCCCCATGAGTGCGAGAGAGACAGAGCTGCGACCTGCTCCCCCTTTTGGCGGCGGCGGTGTTCGCCTTCTCCGCGTCCCGGGGCACACAATGCTCGCCGCGCAGTGCCTGGCCTTTACAGTGGCGTGGTGCGCGTTGCCGAACAGCGCGGAGCTTATCGTGGAGCGCCGAGGTCTCTACACCCCGGGCACACACACAGACACACACACACACAGACCCCCCCACACTACTTACACATACCACACTCACTCACTCTCTCACACACACACGCACACACACCACACACACACTCACACCTGGGCCTGCAGTGAGTGCGGCGCTGTGTGCCGAGGCCGCCGAGGAGTGTGCCTAGCCTTCCTTCCGCCGCGCGATGCGCGATGCTCTTCCGTTGTGCCACGGCCCTCTGTGGCCGCTGCGTCGCTCCGTCTCTCTCGCACCGCTTCGGAACGTCCCATTGGTGCGAGAGAGACAGAGGGCGACGCGGAGCGACGAGTAGCACCGCGGCGGCGCGTGGCGTGTCCTCGTCCCCTCCATCATTCTCGGTTAGCGGCAAGTCGCGGTCTCGGACACGGCGGGGCGGGGCGGGGCGTGTCCTGTGCGAGGCACTCGACGGCCTTCTCGGTGATGCACGGCCCGCGCCTGCAGATTGCGGGCATTACGCCCCCATGGACTCGACGGCGACGCCCCGCCCCGCCCCGCCCCGCCCCGCCCCGCCCCGCCCCGCCCCGCCCCGCCCGCCCCGCCTCGGCCGCGCCATACTGTCGAAGTGTGCAAAGTGCCCCGCCGCTTAACGGCTCTATCATTTCATATAATAGCCGCCCCGCCCCCTGGATCACCCCCCCCCTCCTTTTCTCTCGCTCTCTCTTTTCGTCTGACGACTCCGCCGCGCCAGCCGCTGCACTTCCCGCGCGCGTCTGCGCACTCCTCATCCTGTTGCGCAGTGTGTCGTCGATAACCCAACAAGGCCAACAAGTGAGACAAGGATTCGGGACACCAGGAGAACCAGGTGACGTCACATTTCTGGAAAATGGTTTCTTGATTTTCTTGGTTTTTGTAAGAAAAATAAT